ACGGCGTTAAAACGAACGAAACCCGAACACGCACGGACTTTTTGGGGGACGCGAATTAAATACAAACAGAGCCCAAAAAGGTTCAAAATTGGAGAAGCCTGGTAACGAAGCCAACATTTTGACGGATTTCGAAAAAATAGTAGTGCTTGATAGAAAACCACGGTTGTGGTAACAGAAACGTGATAACAGCGGCGGCGGCGATCGGGCCGTCCATCCGATTGGATTTACGCTATTCTACATAAACATATGGAAAAATCTAATTTCTCGATTGGATGCGCTCCGAAAAGACCGATCGGATAAAACCTCAACTATTAAGCGTTTTAAGTATAAGAAATAAGAGAAGAAAAAAAAGAAAGAGATATAAGAGAAAGAGATTAATAGATAGGAGTAATTGTGTAAATAATAATTTAACTAGGGAAAAAAATCCTAGGTCTGTGATCTGCAGTGATCACTGTATCAATAAGCAACACAATGTTTAGAGAGGAATCAACAAAAAAATTAATTAAAAACCTATTAAAAAATGTGATTAAATATAAAATTATGTTGTAGTTGAAACCACGGATACTTCGGTTTATTCCGATTTTTAACAATATTAAATTAATAACTTTAATTTAATATTTAACACCCAAAAGCGCAAATTCTCGAGTTCCCGGTCCAAATCTCCAAACCCATATTTTGAGGAGTGCTCGCGCGTGCCTAATACCTCAAATCGGATTTCGTCCGGCTGACGCCCACCATATTATTAATCACACGAAAATATATAACAATATATAAGTATGTAATATCATAATGTATACCTACCGATGTTCGCGTGTACCGGAAGTAGGAATAAAAGACTATTCATCCACCCCCTTCCGGTAAATGTTGTGCGGTTGCGGCAAGGATGACTGAGAGGGCGATTGTCGACCGACGGACGTTCCGGAATTAATTCTTTCAGGTGGCATTTGTTCAGGCATTGTTCGCTGTTCACCCACCCCCGCACTGAGATTCTACAGCACGGCCTTTAGCACCATCCCCTCACCCTAACAATAACCCTCCCCCCGGCCACTTCCGGACAGCGTTGCGGTGAATCCGGCATCCAACCGGAACAAACCAGCTCGGATAAGTACAAATATAAGACACAACACGTTATTTGTACTTCAACTCTTCCACTTATAGTCCGCGTATGTTTAATTTCCTTTTTTTATTTTCACGTCCCCTCTTGCCCGTGCCGTTGTAATACATAATATATAATTGGGAGGCCTTGCAAACGTATACTACATAGCGAATTTGTGTTGAGCAGTTCACATTTCGTGTACCTACTACCTAGTGATCTTGGATACAGCGAATTTATTTATGGTGGTCTAACTCGAAAGTATAAGAACATCATCCACATTACCACGAAGTCTTTCACATTCAAACGATTTTGTGATATTTTACAGTTTTTAAAAAAGGTCGATTCACTGTATATTATCAGAGGTTACCAGAGAGAATTACTGATAACGAATTCGTCAAGTCTGTCTTCAGTAACTTCTGTACGACCGCAGAGATGTCAGACAACACACTCGGATCATTTTAGTATTATAAAGTATAAACACTGTATTTGTATTTGTAATTCGCTTTCCGCCGGACGCATCATAGATCGTAATATAAAAATACACACGATAATATAGTATCATGTTGTGCGCAACAACAATACAACAATATAATATGTTTTTATTGTTGTATATTTTTTGCAATCGATTTCATCCGATTATAATAATATAATAATATTACATCACCACGCGAGGCATCACGCACCGTAGCGCGCAGTAGCGGCAGTTTAATATATTATGAACGAATCGTTTTCAATGAGGATAATATGACAATGCAAGAGGTGTTAAGGAGAGAGTACACGCTCGTTTAAACCGCACACTCGGCCACACTTGCCGTACATTATAATATTATGTGTGCACATTGTTACAGCGTTTTGAGGGGTTTTCACGCGCCGAAGGGTTTATCCGGTCCGCAGCAGCGGCTACGCATCATATAATAATATCGTGCACAAAAGTATGTACCCTTCGCCGCAGACGGTCTTTTTTTCGGCCATCCCCCGCCCACCCACCCCGGCAACGAGGGATTACATCCACGGAGAGCTTCTTCTCGTGCACATAACTAATAACTAATAACTATACAAAACATATTATTATACTTTCGTTCACTAACTTAAGGGAGACTTAAACGGTCTACCGTCTACGGATTTGTGTGTCTGCAGTGCGTGTGTCTTATTATGCGTTCAACTGTGATAGATAGGTACCAGCCGTTTTTTTCTATCGTTATTCATCATTCATCGAAGCTTTTGAGTTTTGACAACAATATTGATATATTTAATTTATCCAAAATGAAATCGCATCTAAAAATCGAAACCAACGTCCAGTGGTAAACAATTAAATAAGCCAATAACAATAACGATTAATTATTACAATATATTCAAACAATGTGCAATATAATAATAAATATTATGTTGTATTGTATATTACAATGTTCACCAGTAATACTAAAAATAATATGCTATGGAGATAAACATGTAAAACCTTTCGATTAATTATCTTGGATCGATTTCGTCACCATATCTATGTACATTTACAGAAGTTTACATCGTGAATACACAAATACCTATTAAAATTCACCAAGTACTTTGTTTAATGAAAAAAAAAAACAAAACAGTCTAATTATTATAACCACAAAATTATTCAGTATACAAGCGGGACATTTTTGATTTGTCGAAGAATACCTGTATATTGGCGGGGATAACGGAGATTTTCCGACGAAACCATTGCGAAATCCGTCGATTTTTCGGTATAAATAATCTGTTCGGCTATCCCTCACCAATAAACCATGCGGACATGTTGAATACCAATTTCGTGTTTTTTTTTCCTAGACTGTCGGATCGAACGAAAATCTATCGCGATACACGCACAAGCGATTCCCGCGACAGCTTCCCGCCGCTCCGCCGCGGTCGCTTTTATATTGTCCCCGCATACAGTCGACCGCGAGGTCAATCATTAATCTCAGTCCGAAATCCCTATTATTTTGGTTCTTCTTTGCACCCCTCCGCCCCCTTCTCATCACCGCCTTACACGACCACCCTGGCTATCGTACTTTTCCACCACCCCACTCCACAGCCCGACCGGTACAGCAGCCTCGGGCGATTCGGCCCGGACCATTTATCAATCTCACGAAAGAGTATCGGCGGAGGCCGGTGGTAGCGCAGAGTCAACATCAATTTGTCTCCTTTTAAACCTATACATCTATCGGGCCAAACACTCCTATTTATACGATATATGTTATGCCTAATGTGTATGTACGTACGTTTTTGCCGCTCGTACACGAAGCCAGGGGTGGTTTTTGCATTTGTGCCGGACCATAAATTCGCGGAAATTGCCGCGCGTGTGTGTGTACCCTTGTCTTCTGCTGGTTTTCTGTATGGAAACACGTGAAATAAATTTCAATTCGAGACTATTTAATCAGACGAGGGCACCAACTCCAGCTCAATGACAAATGAGCTTCTACATAATATAATATTATATTATTATATATATTGGGTACATTAGGTGATCTTACCGTGGTGTGATGGCTATTTATCGATAAATCTTGGGGGGGGGGGCATGATTTAATTATATAACAGTAGGTGTATATCATTTGTATCCTTCTGATCGTTAAATCATTGTTATTGTTATTAGATCTCAAGGCAAATCCGTAACACGTGGTAGAATCGGTAGTATAGTAAATACATAATTGTTCTGAGTATATACCTATATATTTGATAATGATAATGAATGCGTTTCAGGCGCATGGAAACTATATGGTAATTTGCTCAGAATTATTTCAATAATGGAGAACACGAAAGACGATTAAGTAATTGTAAAATAAGTGTTTAAAGTGTAGTAAGTAAATACAAAGACTATTTTTATCATGTGCTAGACTTATAGCAGTGTTTTAATTTAGTTTAATTTAAAATATTGTATAATTATAGTAGGTTGTAGGTATTTTTGTATTTCTCATAAATATTGAAATGAGTTTTACAAAAAGTATTTGATTTTTAAATTCAATAAAAATGTTTTGTAAAGATATTTTTTTCGTTTGCAAAGAATTCGTTATGCTACAAAATAAAAAAAAACAATGATGCATACTTCACCCAGGTACATACTAATAATTATAATACCTATATAAGTAAGTAATAAACTAAAGGGGAATGGATGATTGTAAATAATGTGAAGCATTATATTATTATTATCCAATTTGTTGCCATAATTATTATATTAGGTCTTTACATGTATAGTTATGTGTCTAGCCATTTATTCGGTTACGATTGCTGTTCCAAAATGTTCAATATATGTGCATCAGACAACCACACAGTTGTGTACGCGGCAAGTAGTTATATCATTATATCAATATGTTTTTTTTATTATTATTTGTGCTGGTAACGGAGGAATAGGGTACATAGCTGTAAGTTTGTTAGAACATTTAGAACCGTTGAACCTACATATATTACACAGTTTGGTAACATTTTGTTATATTAGAAAAATCCCGTTTTGAGCCATATAGCGGTGGGAGAAAAATGTACTAATCCTCTGATAATTGTGTACGAATGGCCATCATTTGAAAAAGTTAGCGTGTAATTTTCTGGATCACCATTGAAATTAACTGCCGACCCCTGTTTTAGAGAATAATAAGTTACTTTTGTGTGAAACTGATTATAGTAACCTTAAATAGGGGTAGGTAGTTGAAGTTGTGACACGAAATATGCGGGGTCAAGGATGTGTTTAATTAAAATCAGTGAGCTCTTGCCTAAATTCAACACAGAATTTCTTTGTTAGAGATGATGGTCATTAATATTAGATCAAAATATAACTTTTAAGAGATTTCTTATGTATACTATATTTCTGTCTTACAAACTTAATTTTAATCATTATTGGTTTGATAATTTATTTATAATTTTAAAATGATGAGATTTTATTATATTACTTACTTACATCCAATACAAGAACACTTTTCGATGACTTAATTATTGAAATTTAAAACTAAAAATGTTACAATCATCGCCACAAGTGTATAACATACAGTTGTCTTGACTAAAACACAACATATTTACTCTTCCCGTCTCGTTGTCGTGAATAGAATATTCGATATAGTTGTCGAAATTTGATATGTCGTTGACTTTAACATTCGTAAGACGTATTCTACCATCAGCAAAGCCCATTAAAACTGTTAATGGATCAACTCCACTTTAAATCATAAAAAATAGACATTTTATTAAGTTATTAAAATTTAAAATTACTACAAGGGGAAAGGAATTGAATGAAGCTTAGCAAATGTTTGCAATTAAATAAAATATGAATTTAAAAATGTCTGTATTTTCTCGTAAGTATTTGTAAATAGAAGTAACTTAAAAAATAAACTTTGTAGGTAAGTACTAAGTAATAATACGAGATATGTTAAATTATCTATACATTGCAACATCACATAATTATTATATTATGTAAATGTCTATAGTATTCAAATATAACTATGTCAATATATTTATTTTGTGTTCCATTTAAGTGTACTGTACTTACACAATTTTAATTGCAGTTATTTGAGTATTATTTATGTTTGGTATCGTCACATATGCATTGGTCACTGGTCTGGATGTGTTCACATCGTATTCGTACAAATAGCCAGCGTCGTATCCATCAATAGACACCCATATGCCATTTTCTTTTGGAGTGTAAATGGCAAACAATACGGGGTTTGGTGTTGAAGGAATAAAGATTTTTGGTGGTTCTTCGTCTTCTTCGGAATCTTCAAAATATAACTCTTCATCGATGATGACATCGGGATCTTGTTGTCTGAGAAGTTCTAAAGTCTCTTTTTTCCTATTGATTTTATCATTTTTCTTTTCTGCCAAGTTCAACAAATATTGCTGTTGAAGTATTTCTGACTTGATGCTCACTGTTTTTATTACACGCGATTCGAGGTTCAATAAAAACGATTCTCTGGTGTACGTCGGACGACTTGTGGGAACATTCACTTCTACAATATGCCCACTAGCGCAACTTATCAATGCCATTTGTTTCTGAAATAAATAATTGAATATTTGAAAACCATTAGCTATTTACCACAACTAATTTTAAAGTAGACACATGAGAAATATTTTTACTTCTGAAGGTTTCCAATGAACAAAAGTGACTTTGCCAGGCATTGGAAAAAAACCAATAGGACTCAACTTGATAGGTCCGGTTTTTATTTTATAGACAAAAATTGTTTGATCATCACTTCCGCTTACAAGTGTTTTGCCGCTATTGCTTATCGACAAAAGTCTGATAGAACTTTTATGAGGTCTTGTGGTCTAAAAATAAAAAGCAAAAAATCAGATTCTCACTTCCATTTACAAACAATTGTTTATACTATCAGTAACAATAATCGAATTACTTGTATTTCCTCTATTTCGGAATGATTTAATATTTTTTTTTTTACTATTTTTTTAAGTGGTATTGTGATTACTCTCAAAATTCCAGTTTGAAATCCAATTATGAATACATCTCTCAAACAAGCTATCTAAAAATATATAATATAATAAATATATTATAATTATTTTTGTTACAGTTAAAAATTAAAATCATATAAGATAATATTATAAGAATGAATTGGACATGCAACCTTATCACACAGTCATTAATTGAATAATTAGTTGAGATCACAATATATACACATATAACATTACATATCAAATGACCCTTTGCATAATTGAGAAATCACCTTTCTCTTTTATACGCAAAAGACCACTACCCAGTGCGTTTTTCATGCATTAACATGGCCTACCCAATTTTATTTTTTATATAGTTCAAAGGATTATACAATTGGATTTAGTGAACTCAAAGTTGAAAAACAGGCTAAAAAGTTCGTTTTATAAAATTATCAATAACTGTCATAGGAAATTCTAGAGACCTGTAAAAAGTTCGATGTGTTGATGATTTCAAGTTAATATACAGCTCAAGTTAACCAAGTTTTACGGGAATACAAAAGTTAACTTACCGTCGACGGTAACCAAATCGACGAAGTGATTGGTGCTTTAAAATCATGGGTGAATATCAACTTTTTTTTGGTGACATCGTGCACGTGGAGCCAACCATCCAACGACGTCGATGCGATGAAATTACCGACGGGCGATGGTTGCAAAGAGGTTACTGTGTCGCCGTGAAACTTAGCCAACCTTCTTAGAGGTTTCGCGTCGCTCGACATTTCGATGTCGGCGAGCCACATTCCCCCATTGCCGTCCTACAGAAACGACAAAAACGAGAGAGTAAGATTTCGATATTACGTACAATCGCAGTGTAATGATATAATAATATATATTTAATATTATTCATCTATCGGACATCGATCACTCATGATTAAATTCATTATCTACTCAACTCGTGTAGCTAATAGATTCTACTGTCGTTAATTACCTGAATAAAATAGTCGTATGAATCGGGGTTGCGGTCGATCTTACACATACCCATGATTTTCGAATCACCGATAGAGTCCTGGATGTTAATCACGTAAGACGGTTCCATTTCCAGCACTCGGTCGTCTTCGGGTGGATCTGATTCTTCAACCGAACGGTAATTCCAAAATTTGATCGTCCCGTCCATGCTAACGCTCGTCAACAGGTCTTCGAGTTCGGAGAATAAAAACATGATGATAGGCGCCGAATGACACGGTTTTCTAAATTTATTTGTCACCTCGATCTCGATGAATTTTTCTCCCCATATCAAAATATTGCCCCATTCACAGCCAGATATCACCTGCAACAAACAGAGAAGACGGGTGTGTCACTCATCTAAAAACCACATAAGATGTCTGGTAGAAAAAAAACAGTACACACACATTGTCGGTTTATTGTTAAGTGAAATATTGCAAACTTATAACTAATGATAGTTATATAATAATGAGTTGAAACTTAAAACTTCAAATCACACAATGTATACCTATTAAGTATATTATGAATCTTTTTGGTTGGGTAATCTAACCTAACTTTCTTCTTTATCTATGATGTATTATTTTATTGCAAAACAAGAAATAAAGACATTAATATTAGGTGGGTATCATTCTAATCTGAATTGTGTAGTAGACTGAATTACAAATGAGTAGTAAAAAAATAATCCTGAATAAAACCGTCTTGGACTCTTTTGGTAGCGATGAGTGTTACTTTAATACGAGTACAATAGGTAAATTGGTTTGTGTATGCATAAAATGGTATCAATACAAAATTCATATAAAGTCATATTATATAAATGATAATTATGCTTAAAAAAATTTAAAACGTGGTATTTTCATGAATTTAACGGACATTGCATTAATTTTTCACCAACAGCCACCATCAAACTAACAAAAATGTATTTTATATTTTATTTTATTAGGATTTTACATTTTTTTGTTTTTGAATAAATATAAATTAAGTAAGTAATTAATGTCATAATTCTAATGAAAGCATTTTATAAATGTAACAGTTTTGAAAAATTTAAGTTTGTGTGGTTTTTGGATTCAATATCAATAATATTATATTGTTATGTACTTTATTAACAAATTATTATACTGATGATAGTATAGTCGAAGCTTACGTAATAATTGTGACTTTGGAAATTGAAAATGCAGGTATAATTTTACTTTTAAATTGAATGTTCTTAAAAAACAGACATGGGACAATCGATTGCAAGTTATTACAGTAAATCAGTTGAGCTTTTATTCCTGATAAGTTGCATTAAAAATGACTTCTATTCTTAATTTAAAATTTATATTTTTAACTTACCTCATTTCTGTAAGTATATATTATGCAATACACTAATGCATCTTTATTTTATATGTGTATGTATATATATATTCAATAACGTGAAATAAATTTTACTAAAAACTGTTCATAGGTATCTTATGAATGCGTTTGGTGTTTTTTAGTGCAGTTATTAACTGCAGCTAGCTATAGTCGGTGTTAATGATCCAACTCAAATTTAATTTATCATTGCAATCACTACGAGATTAATGTGTACATATATTCATGATACGTCATACTATATACCTCAATTCCCAATTGTAAATAAAAATAATTACTATAATTGTTATTATGTATACATGATTTTACTTTTTCATCGGGCATTGAGAAAATTCCAATGACGTTTGATATTTCCGTTTTTACGAAGCGTCCGAGCTCACCTAGGAGCTTTAATCCAGTAAAAGTTTTGGCCATTTTCCAGAATTTTAAGTGTCCGGATCCTCCGGTTACCAAATGGTCGGGTATAAAGTTTGAAAACCTACAAACGTATACATCTTGAGTGTGAGACTTGGTCCTCAAGACTATTTTCGATTTTTTCCAATCCCAAATCGTAAGAGTATTATCTGGTGCTGCTGCTTGTGAACACAAGTAGTCACCGTTTTGGCTGTAAACAAAAGTTTAATTTGTCTTATACTTTTATGTCTACTTATATAATATTACTATCGATAAATAAAATATAGTGAAAAATCAACATTAATTGTTACACACACCTGTACGACAAGCAATTTACTTTTTGTTTAGCACTACCTTTGAGCACGCTAACTATTTCAAATGATGGCCATTCGTACACAATTATCAGAGGATTACTACATTTTTCTCCCACCGCTATATGGCTCAAAACGGGATTTTTCTAATTTAACAAAATGTTATCAAACTGTGTAATATAAGTGGGTTCAACGGCTCTAAATGTTCCAACAAACTTACAGCTATGTACCCTATTCCTCCGTTACCGGCACATTTTCTAAAACTCAAATGTCCGTCGTCGATATCAAACATATTGATATAACTACCTGCCGCGTACAAAACTGTGTGGTTGTCTGCTGCACATATATTGAACATTTTGGAACAGCAATCGTAACCGAATGAATGGCTAGACACATAATTAGATGTAAATAAATAATATAATAATTATGGCAAAAAAAATGGATCTGAAGCTACATAATATTATTCTTATCAACAATCATCTATCCCCCCCCCCCAACTTATTTTATTACTTAGGTATAATAATTATTAGTATGTATCCTTATTAGTTTATGTTAGTATTAATAAACGATAGCAGTAGAGGGTAGTATTGTTCACACAGAGTCTCCTCTGCTGTCCGTTAAACGGAAAAAAGGTATAACCATTGAATATTCACATGTACATCATATAATATCGAACCTAAATATTAAAAATAGTATAAGATTAATTTTCAGAAATATGAAATAAAATATTTTTAAAAGTTCAACACGTGAATGTCACAGAAAATAATAATTGTTCGTTAATTTCCAAAATTTACCGAAATAGTTGGCTACGGGATTTTCGCTATAGATTTTAACCAAAGTTAAATATTTAGGTAATTAAAAGTAATGTGTAAAAAACTGATTTGATCTAATAATAAATAGATTACTGGATTTGTAGTATATTTTCATCCATCGTACATCCTTCACTTTGGATTGGTTTGGATATGAGATCACTACTTTTATAAAAAATATTGTCATTCGTTTGAATACTTTCAATCGATTCTTCGACGATCTGCTCATCATTTTCACTATAATTGGTCATTTTGGTAAATTCAAGATTTATTATGTTGTACGAATTAATGTAACGATTAATAAAAGATTTTCTGCTAAAATAAAAACAAACAGAATAATAACAGTGATGTTATGTTGCTAAATGTAACTATAGCATAAGTTAGTAGTTATATTGTGCCAGATTGCATAGCCAATGAATAAACATTCAACGAATTATTTGTGAGCGAATGTCAGTCTCTTAAACATGATGTAGTTACTCATGGGTTTTCCATTAAATTAATACATTTTTCATTTAAATTGATATTAATATACTATTAATAAGTTTGTTAGCAATATTTGTTCTTACCGCAATCAAAAAAACATCGTTACAATTTATTGTTTTGTAAGCGCTTAAAGTTTAAATTTTTACCAAAATATAATATTTATGAATATAAAAAAAACCTATTTTATGGCTTTCAGTATTTACAATTCGGTTATTCCTTTTCAGGAACTAACAGTACATTGTTGTAAAAATATCGCTGAATGTAATGATGATATGTGTAAAAAAATTTCAAGGGTCCAGTCTACCAGATATCTAGGTATAACATTTGACAGTAATTTAAAGTGGAATTTACATATAAATAATATAGTAATGAGGCTACGTTCTTCACTCCACAAATTTTATAAACTAAAAAATATCCTGCCTGTCAATATATTACGCAATATATATTTAGCTCTATATCAATCAGTGTTCCAATATGGATGTTTAGTGTGGGATGGACTGTCCGAAATTTATTTAAAGCCATTACAACTTCAACAAAACAAAATAATAAGAATCTGTTTAGATAAAAAAAACTATGGTAGGCTCAACAAATCAAAATTATAAAGAGTTTAAGGTTTTGCCTATTAGATCGGTTTACAAAAAAATTGTGATATTTTGGTTAGATACTAACAGAAAAACATGGTTCAATACAGAGTTATACAAAAATAAAAGACAACACAGGGCATTAGATGCATTAGTAAATTATGTAAAAACAACGTGTGGTCAAAAATTCATAGACTACCTTGGGCCTACTACATTCAATTCATTGGATTATGATATAAAACAGAAATTACAATACTATACAAACAAAATTAAAAAAAAAAAATTAATTAATGAATGGTTATTGTGCAACTTACCTTAAATCAAGTTCTTTTATATTTTAAGTTATGTAAATAATTTTAATCTATATTTGTTTTAGTCGTGTATGTTTGAATATAATGTTATTTTATAGTTTTGTTTTTTTCATGTACAATTTCTAGAAAAATGTATATTGATATTTGTTTATTTAGTTTTATATGTATTTAAAATCTTAATTTAATTTAGTATAATTTCTTTTATTAATAATTATATTACATAATTTAATAACTCTCTATCTCCAACACAAGCTTTGCTTAAAGGAGATAGATAATCGAAAATGTTATCTATAAAAATAATTTATGTATTTTCTTTCTTTTCGATAAATAAAAAAAAAAAAAAAAAAAATTTGTAGTTGGTTTAAGGCACACTCAATAATTATTGAACAGCTGCAGATCAACTTACCCTTTGGCTTATTATTTTTTTAAACAAATCCCCAATGCAGATCGTTGCTGAATAATTCTACAATAAATACAATTTTATTCATACAATAATGGTCCTTTAAAATTTAATTTAAATTTATGATATTAATTATTTTTCGTACAACAGTATTTTTATCCAAAGCTATTTTTTTTTTTATATATAGATTTAATAGATTTTTATTTTTTAGTAACTACATATTAGTATATTACTTAATTTAATGAATACCTAATGTATAAATGTATAAAAAAAAATTGCGGCATAGTAACAGAAACGAAAAATACTCTGATTTTTTACTAAGACGTAGCTTAGACGAGCTTCTAATTTCATTTTCTTATTAAGTTATAAATATTTCCTATATTGGGTTTCTTTTTTGCTTTATTTATACAAAGTATACAATTTTTTTCTAAAATGTTCGTTGCACATTTTACAAATTTCAAAAGTGTTCAAGACAATTAAAAATTAAATTAATATTTTTATAACCAACATATTATGTTTTTTTTCACCTATAAATTAATATATATCATTTTAAAAACAGTAAAAACACTCAGATGAACACAGTAAGTTCAATACTTTGGTTAGATTTATTCGGATTTAGAGACTATTCTTTCATAGTGGTCGATTGTTAAAAATTAATCATAAGTGCCGACTTTTAGACTTTTATAAGTGCATAATATTATAGATACCTATAGGTACTCATGCCATTCTCGCAGCTTGTATATCCTCGTTGTTTTCTTTTTTATACAGTTGCAACTTACGAGACGTGTTCTCTGCCCTGATAATACCCATGTACACGTATATCAAATTCAATGTTTATAAGAAAATATGAAATTTTAAAAAATGCGTTTAAGAAAAACTATGTTTCACAATCATTCAATATATTATAATATTTGGATATATTAGAATACGAGGTTTATAGGGACCGTGTGAAAATACTTACAACTACACGATTGTTATTAATTATTAGTTATTATAATGTATTGTAAAATATACGAGGCGCTCACCTATACCTACGGCGTATGAAGACGGGGTGGAATATAATAAAATAAACGACAAATCGCAGCAGCTATACATAAGACAAGCATAATACACATTTATAATACCGCATTATAATACGTATCGTGTCATACGATAATAATATTACACATAATATTACCTATGTGTAACACCGACACACGCACACGACTCACGGAAATAACAGTAATATTATAATATCATAATGGACGGTGGCGGCGGCTTTTCGTCATCATTAATCTTACCGTTGTCAATGGACCGTTTTATATTATTTCCACTGCAGCGGGCGACGGCTATTTGTCACCCGGACGGATACTATACGCACACACCGACGGGCTGGTCTATCGGTCGGTACCTATGTAAGTCGTTAATCACGGGCTCCAACAAAGTCACGGGGACGACGGTGACAATAATAATAATAATAATAATAATAATAATAATAATAATAATAATAATAATACGTCATACGGTTAGGACGATTGTAGTACTGCAAAGGCATTCAAGTCCCCAGAACGGTACCTACACGCAATATTATTGAATCGTGTATACGACGCTCAGTCGTGTGTCGTCCGGAGGCGAGTTTTGTATAAAATTTGTCTTTATAATAATAATAATATTATCGTTATTATACGCGTATATCTAGTATGGGTCATTACACAGCAAAGGTATTATATATATATACAAAGCTGGTCGCCGGCTTATTATGGTCGAGCGCGGGAAATATAAGTAATCCGCCCCCCCCTCCCAAATCCCAATCGTTATTAATTATCATTTAATGGCACCCGTGTGATCGTTTTGTATTATTATCGAACGATATTATGCGTGTAACCGACGACGCCGCAGCCGTCTTTGGGCACGGTCCGAAAAATCGCAGCCGCCGATGTGTGTCGTTCGCGGGAAGGGTGAGAGAACTGTAACATTAAGAACTGTGTGCATTAAGACTTACGAGACGGACCGTAATAATATTACCATTAATTGTCGTGTCCTTAGAATCACAAAACCTAACCTTTGCCGAAGTAGGGCGATTGATTTTCCCAAGTTTGAGAAGACTTACAAATATTGGAATTAGAATTACATATTATAAACCGTTACAAATTAAATAATAATCTTCAGTACCATTCTAGAGTCAGTAAGACAAAAATACTTCGATGGCGGTGTTGGAGTTATTCACAACAATTGTCACACCAGTACCGCCATGACCCCATTGATTTTTGATTTTTCCTGATCTCATAGGAAGGTGTTCAAAAGTCGAAATTAAGATAAAAAATCGTTACCAATTAAATCAATTAAATAACAATCGAATTTTATACTTTCAATTTACTTTGATAGTAATAGCAGGGTAATAGGTAGACTTATTTTTTTTTTTTTACAGAAGTTGCACATTATTCAGTATTTACCTTTTCTTAATTTTCGTTTAAGCATTTCCTCCCCAGACATTTCCACCTGTCAATTCGTGTGTTAGTTACACTTGCCCTGGTTTTGTGAAATTTTTAGCAAATTAAGTCTCGTTATGTTGTGGAACACGTTCCTGGGCTTTTTATATTTTACCATATTCTATGAATTTAAAATTATAATTAAATTATTACTAATAATACGATTAAAATTACAATATTATACTCATTGCACAAAAATACAATTAACATGATCTTATTAGATATTTCACACATTATCAGTTATCACTCACAAAGTCACATCCAAAGGATAGGTTATTATAACAATGTAAGTCATGAATATCTACGGTACTCACACAAGGTTATTACCTATGTATTTTGAAGATTCCCGCTCCCTACCACCAATTCTACACACAAAATGTATAGTACCAGGTACCTATAATAATACCGTCGACTAAACTTTTTTGCCATAAATGTCCATACCCATTAATAATCCGATATTTTTAAGCAAACCCGAAATTTTTCCACCATCTAGCAAATTGGTTCGGTGTTTATGTACTTGTTATAATGCATAGCTATATTTGTACACTGAATATCATTATAATATTGTTTCGCGAAAGTGATAATTTATCATTTTTAAATTGAATACCGCCGTTTGGCGTCAACCTTATTCTTCATGATTTATGGTCAAAAGCTTTTAAACAAATATTGTACCGAAATATTAATAACCTGGTAAATCATCGTTATTTTTTTTTTACGATGAAAGTTTAGAGTTAAGTGCTCGGGAAGACTAATATGGCAACATTACATTTTACCAATGTATACGGTTAAGTTTGCGTTTGTTTAAACGACTATATAATAATAAATATTAATATTAATATATATTTATAATAGAACAAGCTGCAATAACAGGACGTATAATATTAAAGAGGACAAGCAAGTGCAGACTTGTAACAAATTATATTATAGCTATAATATTTCGTCTTGGCACTTTCATAGGTTTTATCGTTAAAAAAAAAAAACAAAAGCTTTCAATAAAACGATAGAATATTATTATCGCGTTGTTATCTAAAATCTAAAGGCGCGTATTAATAAAATATAACTCGTCTCAATGCATATAATATTAATTAAACATGGAAGGTCGATTTTAAAACGTTTTCATTTATTATTAGGCATAAATGATATAAATATTTTTAATAAGTTACAGTCATTATACATATTTTATAATAATTACGACTATTTTACATGATATAAAACTATTTATTTAATAAAATGTCCTTACATAATAATATTATGCACTACCTATTATATTTTTTGGATACGATAAAATATGTAATGTGGATAAGGCGACTTAGAAAATATTAAGATAACTATTATGTGTTTACGAAAACACATAAATATAAAATAATATTAAAATAGAATTTAATAATAAATTATATTAACATAAAATAAAAGTAATACAACGATTGAACACGAAATGAATGAACTTGTTACGACGATATACAAATTATATACACATTACGCATATATTATAATATAATTATAAAAATACGAATTAAGATGTATCGTTAAATAGGTGTAGTAATACAATTCAGAAATTTCAAATTATTTCAAATTATTATAGATAATCTTCAAATGTCAGGTATTTTAAATTCCTATCCGATATAAAATATTTTAAGCTACAGAGGTGATATTAAAGCTGTATTGAAAGATATTTTGATAAGCTTGATAATGAGAAGATATTTTGTCAGTGGTAATATCATCTTAATTTAACCAGATATATTACTTAGTAAAATATCTAAAACACACGTCAATTACTCTCTCATCGGATTTTTTTTTTATCGAAATCCATTGTAATGATATAGAGGTGCATGTATAAAGTATTACCTTTGGTTTTCGAAAAATACTAGCCGTATATACTGATATCGTTTTTGACTTAACTTTGGACGAATAAATGTATCATTCGGAATCTATAGTTAAATGCAATAACTTACTAATAAGTACCGATAGCTGATAAATACTATAAGTAAACTAATATTGGGTAGAAATTACAATAGTACCGCGAGTTCTAAATTTGATTAATTTTTTAATTGATCATAAACCTGTCGATTTGGATACATTTTTCGGTTTAAAATAAGAGAATGAAAAAAATCGGGTGGTTTAGTTTCCGGACACTATCAGCTTGACGTGCAAAATTGGAAGTTTCTGGCGTTCGGTTTGGCCGTCGGCCGCAGTGCGCTGACTGTCTATGGCCAAGTGATATTTTCCGGGTTTTCTGGGATTCCGCCGGAAGTGCAATCCCCAAATGCCTTTGGAGTTCCGTTTTATCCGGAACTTGTTAGTTGAGTCACCGGTTGGCACCAAGAAGTAATTGTAATTTTCCTGGAAATGAAAACGTAAAAAATATTTGATAAAAAAAAAACCGAATTCAAGTCTCCCATTCGGGTTTGGTAAAGTTATCAGGTTGTCGTATGTGTTCTCACCCTTTTCTACATCTAATAGGGAGTGTATTTCCAAAACTCTCTTCTTAGAAGGTACTTGCTTACAGGCTACATTATATACTTACCTTTTTGTAACATTTTTGTTTCTAAACCCAACGGTTTAACTTTATATATTATGTATATACTAGTCGTAATCGGCTTAGAAATATTTTAGACCTCATATTTTGTATTTTTGTTTCCTAATAATTATGGCTAGCCATATTATGATAATAAATAATTATCATGTTGAGAAAATAAAATACTTAAACACTTACCTTGACGGCTGGAAGCAGTTTCAAAATACGAGTGTTTCGTTTAGCATCAGACATTTTCATTCTGATGGTCTTGTGAACTCCATCGTCCCGGTGGTGTCTGTGCTTGTGTATCTTCTGTAAAACAATGGATACATTTTCGTCAGGTATTGGTTTATTTTGAAATCACGTATTATGATTATACCAATATTAGGTTGCAATAATATAATTGTATTATAATTTTAACCAAAATTATTTTACGGAAACTTACCATGAGGTGATCATCGTTGTTGTCCACCGTGATAATTTCCGACGATACGTTTGTCGTCCTCCTATGACGAAGTCTACCATCCCCATTTATCTGCGTGCACCATTACATAAAAAACACATTAACGAGTGAGTTATACATAGACACACATGCACTTTGCAGTATTCTTGTATGTATTATTCCTATATGGTATATATTCAATCGAAATATGTTCTAACTTACAATAAAAAATAAGTATACATGTTTACTTACCTTGCACGAGAAACAGCCCTCGGTCGATATTATTTTTCCACCCGAGCTTTTGGGATACAACTCTGGTTCTATAGGAAACGTCGGGATGTCACCCAGATCTGGTGGTCCTATGTTGGAGCCACTGGTCAGTGGACTTATGGTCGATAGACAATGACCCTGCAATGACAAATTACAGGGTAAAAAAGTAGTATAAACAAATCTTGCTGACGGAGCCTCGATATATTTTATAACTTACTAACGTATACAATGTCGAAATATTAAGTGTGGACTGTACTTATCATAGAACTCGGTTCATATTGCCTCCCAAATCTTAAACATGGATAAGCAAATTTCTCTACTCGAACTGCCTATTATTTAGTAGGCAATTTGAACGTGCCCGTATGTGTATTATAATTGTTTGGGTTCACGGACATTTTTATGTGTACAAATATAATCATGGTACAGTTCATAAAAACCATTTTAGTTTTTAATAATTAATAATAAATGTCGATACTAATTATATGGTCTGTCAAAGCAGTATGCAAACAATGTCGTGAACCTTTCCATGATAACCTCGAATAACATACATCCTGTGTATTATAGTGTAATATTGTGAGCATATATACCTGGCCAATCCGTTGGTAGCCTGAAGGACATCCGCAGGAGAAACCTCCATGTCCATGTGGAGTGCAACCGAATGCACAAGGACTCCCGTAGCATCCTATTCCGCCGCCACCGCCTCCACCGCCATGCTGCGAAATACATAAATATTGATAGTAATCATAATTCATATTATTGCGAAACTACACGGAAAAAGTCATAAGTAGACTTACTGACAGTCACGGCTATTTGATCGCTTATAGGAACATATAAATTATATTATATTATTATTAGGCGACAGTGATAGGTACTAGACACGGTTAATGGGTATGAACATTTAGAGAACACCAATGTTTATCCTTATGTGTTATCGATTTTACGGATAACAGGAAAACGTCGTTGAAATTATTTACACAAGGTGAATTTAAAATTTGGTTTGAAAAGTAAAAGGACAGTATTCTCTTTGAAAACTGGGTACAAATCAAATACAAAAAACATTATTAAGTTTGAAATTAATAATAATAAAATGAAGATCAAAATGATAACCTGTGAAAGCTATAGTATAAAAAGTATACTTTAGTTATTGTACACCCGCAGATATCTATGACGATTATTTATTTTGAAATTGGCAAAAAATTTTTAGAATATTGTCCTTATGGCTTATAATTATATCGTTTTCGACTTCTATATCGACTGAAACGTGTAAATCACAACGTATACTTTACAGATATTTTATATGGACATGAAAATCGTATTGCAGACCCATTTCATACCTGAGATGATGTCGGTCTGCCGTTACAACCCTGTGATGCACCGTACTGAGGATCGTAGATCTGTCCATTGGCGCACACGCACTGGTAGCCACCGGGCGTGTTGATGCAGTTAAGGTTGGGGTCACATGGTGAGTCGAGGCACTCGTTGATATCCACACACTCGCCACGGTAGCCCGACTTCCGGAAACCCTTTGGACATCCACAATTATTGTTCCCGTTCGCGGTGGAAGTACCGTTTTGACCATTTTGAGCACTCTATAAATACGAACAAAAATGAGGTATATAATAATATTATTTTAGTACCTATCAAAAAATGATTTATTTATTTTTAAGAACTATTAGGAATTATCAGCAAATAATGATTATATTAATAATAATTAAATTCCACCAACAAACTGACTGAATTTCACAACCGCAGTCTGAGCCGCGGGACTTTGTGCCTAAGATCCGTCGCCGCATCGACAGTCGATCGATATGAGAATAATATTAAAAACACACTTACTCGCACATCCATCGCATTTGGACATGTAATAGTAATATTATATTGGTGACTGGTGACTGGTAACTGGTTACATTATTTACACTTCTGGTAACGCCATGAAATTGTGAAGGTGGCTTAATAGGTACTATAAGTGAAGAAGTGATAGTGCGGAGCAAGTCGCAAAATATATAATACGTTTAATAAAATGTATTTTTCTTTTCCATAGGCGACTCGCGAATACTTATCGAATAAACATTTTAACAAAATAATCCCAAAAGCTATAATAACCTGTGCTTAAACCATTACATAAAACAACTTATCACAATAGGTATTGATCGACACATATAAAATTGCTCGTGTATAAAATAATTTCCATATTGTTTGCGAAATATATCCACTGGGTTCGGCCAACATATTCTCCAATATCGATTCAGAAATTCGTTTCTTTTACATACCTATCATGCCCTACTAACCTAATCAAATATCCAGATGTAATATTGATGGATGAATCATAATTCTAACCGGAATTCTAACATTTTGCGAATTACGGAGTCATAATATATTATGATGTCCCTACGAATATACAAGACGTGTCAAGGTTAATACTGCTATTATAGAGAAGTATTACCATAGGCAGAGATCCTTTGAAATATTGAGGGGGCTCAAATAGTTGGTAGCAAAAAAACCCGTGGGGGCTTTGCCCCCACACCCCCAACAATTTTTTATATTTAATAACTCATTAAAATAATTAAAAATTCTCATTATTATACCTACTAATTAGAATACTCACAAAAAAAGGAAAAATGAATAAAATACAATTGCCATTTTTAACTTAATTGTATTAACCTATTACACTTTTTTTCAAATATATTTAAAATAGTGTCATTTAGTAAAGAGTTAGTTTTATCTTTTTCAATGTATATAATAGCCGGAATAGCTCACTATGATATCAGGCATCAGCCTAGTTATTATCGTTTCTCGTGAAATAACAACAGTAAGAAATACTAGTCCTTATTAATTATTAAATATAGTTTTTGGATACAAACAAAAACAAATTTACATAAAAATTTGATGTAAAATTCTTATTTGTTCCAGTTTAGGTATTTATTTAATATTAATAATAATAAATTATCCCTAAAACATTCTGTAATCTGTATAAAAGTATATTTTGTTTCTTAAATATTTAGGGGGGCTTTAACTTCAAATTATTTATTTATAACCTATGAGTATTACTGTATTTTGATCGATACGTATGCATGATAATATTATAAAATTTAAATAAATCCGTAGTACCTGATGATCATGACACCCGTTGTTGTTGTTGTTGTTGTTGTTGTTGTTGTTATTGTTATTGCCGGGAACATTCTGATTGCAGTCAAGTCCGATGCAATCGATATGGTGATTCTTCGATTGTAATTGCTTTGGATCCACGCAACGAGTACCGGTGCTGTCGAGCTTATAGTGCTTCGGACACAGACACCTGTAACTTCCCAAAGTGTTGACGCAATTTCCCGGCGACGGGCATAAGTTGGATTCTTGCCGACACTCGTCGATATCTACTCGTGAACAGAGTTGTGGTTCAAGTTAATCGTAAAATAATATAGTTATTAATTATTATTAGATAGATATATATTATATATACTATACTCCGTTCCAAAAGAGAATATACCAGGCGGCGACCGGATTCCGTCTGGCGACGCGCGTCTCGCACGTAACGTCGTAACGACATAGTCAGTGATGAGTGGAAGGCAAAAAATGGTCTAAGAACTGGTCTATTATTCTCTTTTAGGACGTAGTTTAATATAATAAGTAGGTACAGTACAATGGTGAAGTAAATTTTTAGAAAAATTATGATACCTATTGAACCTATATTATAATACACTATACGAATCTGTCGGTCTATTACTTGCTCCTCCATGTTCCAACTATTGTGAACTGACATAAAAATATGGATTATAGAGGTGATAATATGTGAGTCACCTCCAACTGTAGTTTTGAAATTCTATGGTAACACTTGATAGGTGTATAATGTATTATAGATAATTTTTAGTTGGTTTACATGTTTTATTAAACTTTAGAATTCACCACCGTCTAAATTACGAGTACCAAATTGTATATTAATATAAATATATAATATTATAGTCTTTACATAATATTATTAAAATTAATTATCATTATACACCTATGACTGTCACACTTTAATACTACTAAAAAGTAAAAATACTAATAAAACATTAAAAAATATGTGTTTGATATAATATTATACTATTATAGTTATTATAAAAAGGCTTTGAAATAACACGATTTAATAAAACCAAATTGTGTAAACGCGAGCTCTATCTACCGGACAATAACATTTCAAACGACTCGCGCAATATATTCAGCCGAGATTTTTCGGTAGATGGCAGCCCACAATACTGTATTTCACGACATAATAATATTTTTAAACAAAATTATTCTAAAGCATAATATTGAAATTATTGTAAATCTAAATAGCCAACATTAATGCCGATTATTTTTATGGATTACAAATTAATTTTAAATGAAAAATTATGATTTATATTTTAAGATACAAACATCATTCCTTCAAAAGTATTTTACGAATTTACTTAAGTAGGTATTCTGGTATTGTTCTAATTGGGTTGCTCTAAAATAAATAAAATAAATAAATAAAAAATAAAATGTTCCTGAATACGGAGTTCAGAACAGAAATTAAAACGTTAAAAATAATCTGAGAACCATAAATCAGTCTTGAATTTAGGTCGGTATACATACAAAGCCACTCACTTAGTGACGGATTAATCGACTCGAAAAAGTTTAAGACTTAAAAAAACGTTCTTAACAACAAAATAAATCAAAACGATGTGAGAGTGGGTAGATAAAACTTAATACTTGATACTGCGGTATAAACTATAAGATATAATATAAGTACCTGCACAGTGATCTCCGATCTGTCGATAACCAGGTTGGCATCCACACTTGTACGACCCGTGGGTGTTGATGCACAGTTGTTGGCAAATGTGTTGGCCGGTAGTGCACTCGTCCAAGTCACGACAAGTGGTGTTGTCGGGATTTAACACAAATCCGGCGGGACAGCCGCAAGCGTATCCGCCTTCCAGATTCTGGCAGGACATTTCGCACGGCGACGGGTTGAGAAGGCATTCGTTTACGTCTGAAACACATTATATACACATGCATAAGGCATAATATGTGCAAGGTTATGAACTTCACGATCTGCCGATTTGCCAGAGCTGAAGTCCAAACGGGACTTACACGAGAAAAATAATCTCTGACCCAGTCATGATATTATACAAGACGACAAAGGATTCACTTACCGTTGCAATGCGTTCCGGTGTGATCGACTTTGAAAGCCTTGTTGCAACTGCATCTGTACGACCCCAGAGTGTTTATACATCTACCGTTGGCGCACAAGTCTGGTAAAGTTTCGCATTCGTTTATGTCTGTAAAACATGTAAATTAGACTTTCATATATCACACGGAATACGAGGTGGTGTATTATAGTGACGATAGCTGCAAGTAATAACAATGTTATATAAATATACAAATTATAAAGCAAGGTTGGGCGAAAGTTCATTAAATTGTTTATAACTCGTTAAGTTGACTGTATGGAAAAATAGTAAGCTACGGGGAAGTCAGAAAAAGATGCATATACTTCTTTCCGTCTTCTTCACTAAACAGATATTTAAAATTTGAGGTTTTATAAACGGCAAAACAATATTTTTATAGTTCAGTATTTATAATATATACTTTATAGTTTATACAAAAGCTATGAGCAAAAGTTCATATCGCAGAAACATAATTTCAAAGTACCTAATATATTTATATTGATTGTTTTTAATTTTTAATGAAAATAGAAATTTATAACACATTATACCTAGGCACATTTATGTAACACGACTAAAATAGTGTATAATAATTATTAATAGTCTATGTTAATTTTGATACTGTCAAATGTCAACTAATAAGACGGTCACCTAAAATATTATGTTTTATCCATCGCATATAATATCATGACCACAACTCACCTTGACCGTCGATCGTGTAACCAGATTCCAAGCACAGTTGTCTGAACGAATCTGAAGACGGAGAAGGACACGGTTGACACTGAGGTCCCCAGGCGGCGGCCATCGAGCAACAGCAGTCAGCTTTCGTCACGGATCTGTAGGCCACGGCGCCCGTGACGTTTCCGCCACTCGTGCCGCCGTGACTGATACACCTGCCGTTCAGCAAATGTCTGTAGCAAAATCCGACTCTAGAATCTTATACACGGAATCGAAACGTTATTAATCGGTCCAACACATTGTAACCGTGTCACGGGTAAAGGACAACGTTATTATTATTATTATTATTATTATTGTTACAGGATGGTTCACCAATAATTACCAGCTTTTATCCTGTTTTAGTCCTTTAATCACACGCATTTATTAAAATTCAACCCATACATTCACAACCAACCTATTCTAATAATCCAAAATAATATTTAACACAATGAAATACAAAATATACATTTAAATCAGTCATATTTATAGTCAAATACTAAATTGCTATTTTATTCATACATGACCTATATTCTAAAAACATTGACAACGTACTATAACAATTATTTAGATACATGAAAAAAATCGTTTGGAAATCGTAGGCAAACAATAGCTTTTTATTTTGAAAACAGATTCGCATAAAATTGGGCATACAAAACTTTTTAAATGGCATTGGGAACGAATTATTTAATAAGGGATAGTAGTACAATATATTACGAAGCATTTGAAAGATCAGAATTCTAATAAAAATGAAATTGAAAAATTGTGGCTAGCATATTTTACTATTGTAAGCGAACTGCCAAGTATCATATTAATGATGTAGGTAAGTACACCAGAAATTGTATGCACATATTATTATTATCATCGTTGTTGTTTCTGCAATTACTCACCTATACACTGTTTTCCGTCGTAACTGGTCTTGAACCCGTCGTAGCAATCGCATTTGTACGTGCCCGGCTGGTTGACGCAATATCCGTTTTGGCAAACGTTCGAGTTTTCAGCACACTCATTGATGTCCCTGCATTCGTCCGAGCCGACTTGAGCGTAGCCCTCAGGACAGATGCACGCAAAAGACCCGATCAGGTTCTTGCACGCGAATTTACAATTGTTCGCCGGCGTCACACACTCGTCAACGTCTATGAGGAGAGAGTAATATTGAGAGTTATTTTTAAATTTAATGTCATAATCATTATTTTTTAGTTTTTAATTATTGTAATTCACGATACTATAAAAATTAAAAAGTAAATACACATCATAAGAGAATGTCTAAATACATATTATATATAATACATAATTATTATATGTAAGTGTTATGTTTTTGGGCATACCTTGGCAGTGTCTACCATCCGGTGCCAGGGCATATCCGTACGGGCATATGCACCTAAACGATCCGGGAACGTTGTGACAACGAAATGCGCACTGATTGGACATTTCCAGACATTCGTTGACATCTTCGCAGACCTAAGAAAATACAAAAGTTTAACCTTGGTCACTCAAATTATCGAGTAAAAAAGATCGAAAAGACCGTTTGGCTTACCTGGGTCGGCCCCGGCGCAAATCCGTCAGCACAGATGCATTCAAATCCACCCTGCAGATTCGTACACGTTCCGTTTCCGCAAATGTTTACGTTTATTTTGCATTCGTTCTCGTCCATGCATTTTTTACCTGTCGAATCCAAAACGTAACCAACTGGGCACTCGCACCTGTAAGATCCATCCGTGTTTATACATTCACCCCCGTCACAGGGGTTTGTCATAAAGTCACATTCGTTCAGGTCTTCGCCCTTGTCTCCACGACCAATGCCCTCAGGACACAGTTTTGCAAACGCATCTGCACAACCGATGAGAAATTGAAATACAAAGAATAATGGTAAAAATAATAAGAAAAACGTATGATAACATTATGTTAAAATAAGGGTATGTGTCTTTACCACTTCCAGGTTTCGGGCAAGCCGTGCAGAGCCTACCCCATCCGCCTCCCGCCGAACAACAGCACTCCTTCTCCGTTATCCTCTGTTTTCTAGGAGCCAAGCAGTTGCCTACAGAACGCGATACAGAATAGTATAATTATAATATTATATATTGTTAAATGACAAATTATTCAGTTAGACTGAAATCCAGGGACATACGAGGACAACATTTAGTATGGAGTCTTTGGAAAAATGCATTTACAATGTTACTATAAAGTTATTATTTTTACATTAAAAACTTTTTCAACAAATCAAAATATTTTGAGTTTACGGGGCACATTACTGCAGAGGGTGAGGTTTGACCAACCCCCTGCTATTTGACATCTATTATTTTTAAACCGTTACACGAATAAAATATTATACTGACCAGATAAAAATTTATCGTAACAGTGGTCTTGTCTGGTGTCTATACATTTCATGCCGTTGGAGCTGAGCACGAAACCTTCGGGACAGTCACATATAACGCCGCCGTCTGTGTTCATACATGTACCTCCATCACATATACCGGACATTTCTTGACATTCATTGATGTCTTAGAAAAAAAAATGTTTTATAAGTAGATGTTACTCTTTGAAATAAAAAAAAAACGTAGATATAGGTATATTTGTGCTAACCGATACACGAGTTTTTGGCGGCCGACAGCCGGTATCCGGGCGGGCAGGTGCACAAAAACGATCCCATCAGATTTTGACATCTCCCCGGCTGGGGACAAGTGTCCGGTATCTGAAATAATTTCGAATTCGCTATACATTTCGATTATTTGCACACAGATCTGAGTTCGTCAATAAATGTATGCCACCCAGATATTATGGCGATGTGTGAGATTAAAAATGTCAATTACGATACTTTTAATATTTAAAAAAAAAAATGATTTATGTCACAACTTTTTTTTGCATTATATTAGAATATTACGTAGTCAGTATAATAGATAAATTATCACACTACTGTTATAATGCAATATACAAAATATAGTACTTATTAGTACTATAATTAATAAACATTATATACTATACTATTATTATACATAGTATAAATATAGTATAGGTACTAATATACTATTCAATTAAAATCATAAATATTGAAAATCTTGATTCCGACACTAGACCTAATGCTTAATGTCAGTTGTACATCGAAGAACCGAATAAAATAGTATTATCTGGAATCTATAACAGTACACTATTTTTTTATAATATTATTATAACTCGCATCATTTATGTTGAATAATTTGAGTGAAATAATTACCTCAGTACATTCATCAATATCCCTGCAATGTTGGCCGTCGGTTGATAGAATATATCCGGAAGTGCATTCACAGCTGAACCCACCCATAGTATTCTTACATCGACCGTTTCTGCACAGGAAAGGCATCATTCTACACTCATCCACGTCTGCATGATAGTAAAAAATATCAATACAGTGAAAATAGAATAATTTATTAATTACTACTTATTAATATATTTTTAATTGTTTAAATTTGTTGCATTCGTTTTCGGTATAGACATAATCGATTTCAATTTTATATAATAGGAGTTATTATAGTATACACACATAATATGGAAAAATTTGATATATTGTATATTATATTATAATGTTAAAAACAATATTAAATTTTGATTTTTACATCAAAACGTTTGGACATAGATCATTATCGTGCCAGATTATAAGAGCCTAAAAATATGACTCATAACCATTTGCATTGCGATGGATTGCAGGCTCAATAAATAAATTCTATGCTTAATATTAAACTCGTAGGTATAATAATAATATTAAACCGTCTGAATAACCCAGGTTTGCCCTTGTAGATTTTTTGGGGCATCTCGGTTTGAGTATATCTCAGTTATAGTGTTCCTCAGTTTGCAGACAAATCGGCGTCAGTGTACCTAGATTGTAAAATAATTCGACCTAGATAGGCGATCGGTATTTGCGAACCGGATTTAGCACTTGGTATATTTTTTAAGGTACTGTCTAAAGTTTAGGCATTACCTATGCAATCGTTATTGTGACTGAGTTTGAACCCGTCGAAACAGCTGCACTTGAACGATCCCACGGTGTTGAGACAAGTGCCGTTGTTGCACACGTTCTGATGACGACTGCACTCATCTACGTCCACACACGTGTCGCGAGCCGCAGTGAGCGCATAGCCGTTGTGACAGGTGCACTGAAAACTGCCGTCCAGATTTGAGCATTCGCCGTCCCGACATATTCCATCCCGCTCGTAGCACTCGTCGACGTCTGTTTGAGAAAAGCGTCATTATTATAATAATGCCTACTCTCATTTATTTAGGTACGGCCACAACAACGGCGGCAGACGCTGCGACGACTCACCCACACACTCTCTGGCGGTCGACCCGAGCTTGTACCCTTCTGGACACTGACATTCGAACGAACCGGGAGTGTTGACGCACTGAGAGATACCCCTACACGGAGCTGGTATGCGCAGACATTCGTTGTCGTCTAAAACAAAAAATAAAAATGTTCCATATCGATTAAGCGCCGCAGGAAACCGCATCGTAAGCTCATAACGCTCTCGCACCGATGCATTGATGGGAGTTGGCGTCGTACACGTATCCACCGTCGCACGAACAGTGGAAGCTTCCGGGCGTGTTGACACAGGATCCGTGGTTGCACATGTTCGGCATAAGTGCACACTCGTCAATTTCTTCGGTCCGGTTGGTCATCGGATTCATGATCAAGCCCGGTCTTGAGCCGCATAGTAATAAGTATTCCTCTTGAGAACGCAGAAAAAAAAAACAAAAAGATACTGTTAGAAAATTCCAAAAGGTTGGTCGTTAACTGCGGTTAATCGTGAATATAAATTATAAATATAAATGAGTTGCTGTCAACGTAACATTATGTTATAATGTTAATAAATTAATAAATTGTGTAATTGAGATAACTACGAGTATATAACTGGTATGTACTATTATCTAGTTATTTAAAGTAAGTCATATACAGAGTTGATTTAAAAATGTATATACTATATATTATTATCTACTTACATATAGTATCAGTTTTATATTCAATGATTGGTTGAAACTGAATAAAATCGTTAAACGCTTTAGGTATATTTATATACAAATTTCACTATTATTATATTGTACCTACGTTATGTCTGTTTTTGTATAATATTTAGTTGTATATTTATATTAAAAAGATAGGTTTAATCGTTTACATGATACCTATGTAAAAATGTTGACTAAATCAACTCTTAGTTTGCTAACATTCACGAAAATATTTATTGCTGAATGTAAGAACAAATTTGAAATTGTAGTTTAAAATAAACAATCTTTTGTTGAACTTATTTGCTTCAAGCTTAATAAAATTATTCACTTAATTGATAACTTTGAACTTTCACTATATTATATAAACAGCTATCCGTATTAACTCAACTTTATTAATAACATGTTTCAGCCCTGCTTAATATAACATAATACGTATTTATGATTTATAGTGTTCATTGTTCACCCAATTTGGAAATTTGTTTTTGATTAATATTTTTTAAATAAGATTCTAAGCTTGATAAAAAAATTTAAATCGTTCAATTATATATAATATATTATATTGATATTATATATATCAGCAATATTCAATTTAATATTGAGGTAGCTTATACATAAACGTCTCAAACGACGAAGTTCAATCAAACAGTTGTTAAATAGTACGTTTCAAAGTGTTTAAGTGTGGCGGGTGAAGTACGTGCCAGGATAAAACTAGCTAGACATACGTATAATACTTACTAGTACTGGACGCCGGACAAGGTTGACACGGCAATCCCCAGGCTTGGCCCATCGAACAACAGCAGATCATTCGAGTTTGACTGTTAGACATGGGCACAGAACACTGGCCGTTCGTGTAATTCAAAAAGCAGTTGTCTTTCCGCATATCCACGCATTCCTCTGCAAAAACGCAATAACAAGATAAGATGTTATTACATAATTTAGAATTACTGTCGATCAAATTAAACCAAATAAACGCTGAGTACAATTTATAGTACATGGCTTATCTGGAAGATAAACCTATAATATTATACACGAGACAATTTATAGGTTTAAATTAAACGTGATTGCCGTATAGAATCTAAACTCGTCCAGATACGCTCTATACAGCTAAATACATATATTTGTATACGTTTCTTGTCACATGATCGGATTGAATTATCATAATTCATAAATAATAATAATCATTATTATTATTAAAATAGTAAATTATGATAGCATTGCGACAACGGTCGTGCATTACGGCACTCACTTCCGTTTGGCAGGAGCATGTATCCGTCGGGGCAAACGCAACGATATGTGCCGACTTCGTTCGAACAGAATCCCACGCCGCAGACGTCCGGGTTCTCGTTGCACTCGTCTACGTCTAAAATAGGCACGTACAAAGGCAAAACGGAATTAAATATACGAGTGCACGTGGTGCCTGATCAGCGTGTGCTTCTTACGTTACCATAACAGAATGTACTGGTGTTGTCGAGACGATAACCTTCGTTACACGAGCACATGTAACTCCCAAACGTGTTGGTGCAGTGGCCGTTCGTGCACAGGTTGTCGTGCTCCTCACACTCGTTGACGTCTTCGAGTATCACCTATTTATTGTTGAAGCGACGATACAACAATGTGTTTCAATACAGGTACCCGAAACATTTGTTTATGAATAGTCTTATTATATGGGTGATATTATACAGGCTTATAGAGTACGGGATAATAGGTACCTCTAATAGTATGATAATGCTATAATCAAAAGGTATTTAATATTATTATGATTTACCGTGGTCGGGTTGGGCCTGTAACCCGTTCCACCGGGACAGAGAGTCTTGTACTCTTCCGTTTCCACTCCCGGGCACGACTCACACTTGGAGCCCCAGGCCTTACCCACGGAACAGCAACAAGTGGCCTTCGACACGGCTGATCCCATCTCGTGATGGCAGAGTCTCTGCCCACCTCGATCTTCCACTTCCATGTAGCAACGTCCTTCTCTCTTATCTACGGTTTTTGGTAAATATTTTAATAAACATTTTTATTACCTTAGTATATTTTTTTTTAAGTAAAATATATATTATAATTATTTTAAAACATCGACTTCAGAACGATATAGAAATAGATCTCTGTAGAATATTTACACAATATTTTTAATACTACTTAGTAATACTAAAATTATCGGTTTATACGTTTTAGAGTTTATTCATTAGTCTGAAAATATTTAAGATGAACAATAATATCACGAACCGACACATGCGTTTCCGGCCGGAACTAGTTGATAATTAGGCGGGCATTTGCATGTGTAATTGCCTTCGTTATTGATGCATTCACCGTATAGACATGCTTGGGGACTTTCACACTCATTTATGTCAGTGCAATTTCCTATACATGACATTTTTAGAAAATAAATATGCTGGATATCATTTTAATTGAAAAAAAGACATTGAAAATAAATGTTACCTCCCGTGTTGTCCAATTGGTATCCTCCACTGCATTCGCATCTGAATGTCCCAAATATGTTTTCACAATTGCCATACACACACAGGTTATTGAACATGTGACATTCGTTTATATCTATTTAAATATATTTATTCTTTCATTATAATTAGAAAATAATGCAATCTATGTATACAAATCTAAGACTTATCAGTAGAAGTTTTGCTTTTTAGAGATGCTGACCGTTAAGAAATGTATTGATAATTTTTTTTTGCGATAAATTATATAGTGTACATTTTAAATACCTATCAAATTAATTTATTTCAGTTTATTTTAAATAGATGACCGTTTTAAAACTATAGTGAATTATATTTCAAGTATAAAAACTTAAATGTTTAGATACCGTTACACTATTGTTAAAGTACCTATACTCTAAATATTATTAAACCTTTTGAAAAATTATATTTGCATTTTTTAATCTTTTGATAACTTTTGATATTTAACTCTCATCAATCATTGAATTGATGCATCAAGATATTACAATATTTGAATATTATACCTTTTTGATTTTCATTAAAAATGATAATATATAGAATTTCTAATGCAAATCACATGATTACAATTAATATATCAAACATAATAAATAATAATTAGGCAGCGATACTAGGGGAAAAAAACGACCAATTCTTATTGGAAGGTCCACACAAGCTCTTTCCAGGGATATTTATTGTCTGTATTATTAAGTATACTAATTACTAATGTATTTGATAAAATTTAGTAATTTCAAATGCTTAAATAATAACAAAAAATATGTTGACTGGTTTTTATAAACAATGTTATTCCTAAGTATTCAAATACTATGAAAGTATACTTCAACTACTAAATTATTAAAAGCAAATATTCTTAAAAAAAAATGTACTTAAGCATGCATATAGGTAATCAAGCTCTTACCATTGCAAGATCTTTCATTTTTGTCATCTGGATTAATAAATCCCATTTCACACTCGCATCTAAATGATCCGGGATAATTCAAACAGTGACCATTCTCACATAGAGTAGAATCTTCAGTACACTCATCAATGTCCGTACACGAGTATCCATCTCCACGGAAACCATCATCACATACACACTAAAGATGATCAAATAATTAATACCAATAATTACGAGTAGGTTGTGATGAATTTTATATGATACAATTTCTAATACAATTTTCAGCGACTTCTATTGTTTTTTTTTCCATAAATTAATGTTTTAGATTTTCTATATAACTATATTATGCATATGGTTTCGGACTTTTAATCTAGATTTATAAACTCTATAATTTATAAATTATAACTTTAGGCATAAATATTTTCTTAAAAATAGGCCAGAGTTTTGTGTACCTATTTAATATATTTTTCTTTTAATTCAACTATTAGATACTATAAATTAAAATTGCACCTATTGTAGTTTGAACAACAAATATTAAACTCAATATTGGTATACTTAAATATTATACCTTAAAAGAGCCTTCTTCATTTATGCATTGTGCATTTTGGTCACAACCTCCGTTATTAGTTAAACACTCGTTGATATCCATACAGTTGTATCCGTTGCCAGTAAATCCATCTTGACATCGGCAGCCATATGAACCCTTAGATAATACATAGTCATTATTAATTGTGAATGCATTAATTATAATATACTTGTTTTTTAATACTTTTAGTTTTTTTTAATCATCTAATTCACACAATGTCAAAAACCATTAAGTATACCATTGTTGTATCAAAGTCATATTATACTAATAATAATTTACTATTAGTAACAAAATGTATATATTTAGTCATTTCATAAACCCATTGCATAAGTAGTAAAATATTGATCAATTAAAGAGTCAAAAAAATATGTAAGTATTTATATGGTCTTAAAATAATATAAAATAATATTGTTTCAAGAGATTAAAGAAATTGAATAAAAGTTAGAGGTAAACCTGCACAAAAAAATTAATTAATTTAGATATACATCCCAATAAAATTATAACAGGCTTAAATATCTAAAATGCAAAAGAACAAATATTCTAGGAAAATTCATAATATGGGGGATTTTATAATCTGTACTTTATACAACAATTTCAATTTATTTCTCAAATTAATCAATAATAAATTCATCCAGGAATTATTTAAAAGTGGGGGGGGGGGAGGAGATAATTAATATGTATCAAAATAAATAAATTGATCATCAACTGACTATAAAAAAATCATCACAGAAGGGCAGGGCTAGATAAATAGTATATAGCTGCAAATAACGTAGGTTAAATAAAAATATTCATTAATAGTTTTATATCTAATAATTTATATTTTCTTTAAATCAAATAGTTTAGAATTAAGAAATTATTATAATAATTATTGTTTTCATTACCGGATTGTTCATACATGCTGCGTTTAAATCACACCTATGGGTACCCATTTCACATTCGTCTTCATCAGTACAAGCAGGTCCTGAGTCCAGTTTGGCTGAATATCCCTCTTCGCAACGACAAGTAAATGATCCGATGGTATTACTACAAACACCATTCCCACACACGTCCTTCTCGTTGCATTCATTAATGTCTATTAAATTACAATATTAAATGTTATTGTTTTTTAAAACAATCAGGTTTAAATGGTGTTATTGATCTTAAATGATTACCTATGCAAGATGAACCATCAGCTCCTTTGAGCAAACCTCCCGAACAAGAGCACAGAAAACTGCCAATTGTGTTGTTGCAGTGGCCACCGTTACAGATTCTAGGATTTTCTTCGCATTCGTTTATATCAGCACATGTTCGTTTATCAGCTAACAAATTAAATCCGGCCCTATACAATAAACAAGTTGTATCAAAAAACATAGAAGTTATTCTTATATGATACATACTTGCACGTGCACATGTAACTGCCTGGGACATTGACACATATAGAAGAGCATCCACCATTATTCACCTCACACTCATCAATATCTAAAAAATAGTATAAATACATAAAATATTGCGATGCGTAAAATAAAATGAAATATTGCTTAAGTATGATTATGACAATCAATCGTTTTAACAATATTACATTTAATATTATAATATAATCATTAATCAATAAATTAAAACAAATTATCAATAATCAATGTCAACATTTAGTAGGAATATTAAAACAAGACTTTCTAAATAGCTTTAAAAATTACTGTTTTTATTACCTTCACAATAAAACTTCTGATCCGTTTGCCTATAGCCATCATCACACACGCATTGGTAAGTTCCCATCATGTTTTCGCAAACGCCATTTGAACAGATTCCGCTCGTTCTTGAACACTCGTCGATATCTATAATAATTAACAATCCAAAATTAATGTTATTCTTTGGTGCCTGTTATTTAATTTAAGTGTTTACTTCGAACGTACCTTTACAACTTTGTTTGTCCGCAGAAAGTTCATGTCCAGGAGGGCATTCACATTTATAACTGCCTGGTGTGTTTTGACATGTACCACCGCGACATAGTCCTGGCGTTCTCTCACATTCATCGATATCTAAAAGTTTTATAGTTATAAACATTTTATTTTAATGAAATGAGGTGTTTCAAATAATTATTATTATTAGTCGATTACCCATGCAAACTTGCATCAATTGAGATGTTTCATAACCGTCTTTGCACTTGCACACAAAACTTCCAGGTATATTTTGACACTCTCCATCACCACAAACACCATGCATAATATTGCATTCATCAATATCTAAACAGACACATTTATAATTGTATAAGAGTTAAATGAAAAAAATTAAAACGATAATGTATAAAAGTTAAGATAAACTTTCATACCAACACAACGGATTCCAGATTCGTCCAAAGTGTATCCTTGACTACATTTACATGTAAAACCTCCCATGGTGTTCTTACACCGTCCGTTACTGCATATACCAGGAAACTCAATACATTCGTTAATATCTTTGCGATCAATAAAACCTGGTCCCTGTAGAGATTGAATGTATATATGTAATAAACAGAAAAGATAAATCAATATTTACTAACTTTTGGGCATAATTCATTAAAACCAGGAGTACCACGTCTAGGACAAGTTTCACTCCTACCAAGAGATCCTTCGATCCCTCCGCCCCAAGCTTTTCCTATAGTAGAGCAACAGCAAATACATTTTGGATAAATCCCGTCTAATGCGTTGACACCAGCACCGTGCTTAAAATCTGTGTAGCACTTTTCTTCTCGTACATCCAAACAAACAGTTCCTGTACAAAAAATAAACAGATATATATAAGCAGATTAAATGTTAATAATATGTTTATTTGAACTTCCTCACCAGTAGTGTCTAATGTCAAACCAGGAGGACACACACACGTAAATGATCCTTCTGTATTGACACATGTACCACCACCTCTACAAATCCCTGGGCTCAGTTCACATTCATTTATATCACGGCATATTTTACCTACAGACTAAAAAAATAACTTTATAAGATAAGTCAGCAAAAAAAGTATAACTAAAATACATTACCACGAATCCCTTATTGCAATCACCACCACAGTCTTCTGGCTTACAAGGTTCACATGGACTACCCCAAGCCAGCCCAATCGAGCAACAGCAATCCGATTTCAAAGTTAGTTGCACGAGATTGTTCTCACATCTGCCACCAGTCATACGGGTCCAACACGAACCACGACGATTATCTACACAGTGAGAAAAATAAGGAAATTGAAAATTGTACCATTTTTGTGATCCATATTTTTTCTTCCCAATTGTATTTTTTCATTTGTTTGATATTACCTAAACAAACTCGTCCTGTACTATCCAAAATGGTGCCTGGTGGACATTCGCACTCAAAAGAACCAACTGTGTTTATACATTGGCCCGCTACACAAGCATTAAGACCGAGTTCGTCACACTCATCTACATCCTGACATGCTTGACTTTCAGAGTTCAATACAGTTCCCACAGGACATGTACACTGAAATAAAATAGGTAGGTGTGTACATAATTGTTTTAAAGAAGTTATGGTCATGTTAATTAGTGTCAAGTTAAATTAGTACATAAATAATATAGGTATACCTGAAAACTTCCCGGTGTGTTGCGACACTGACCACCATTGCAAATTGTATCGTCCATGTCGCACTCGTTAATATCCTTACAAATCTTACCCGTGTCATCCACCTCGTAACCGGAATTGCATATACACCGATAGTTTCCTATTGTATTTTCACAAGCTCCGTTGGAGCACACTGCTGGGTTTTGAGCGCACTCGTTTATGTCTGAAGAAATAATTGTTATAGCCTATAGGTATAGTTATTCAAATCTCAGGGTACGGAAAAATGTGAAAAATACATACCATCGCCATTGTACGTCATCCCAGAACCCTGAGGACAGAGTCCTTTGAATTCCAAGCTATCAGGTGAAGGACATTTTGAGCACTGCGAACCCCATCCAGGTGTCTGCCCAAGCACGCCGTATGAACAGCAACAACTGGATTTCGTCATGGGTGTGGTTAGGGGTTGCAGACAAGAGCCCTGCTGAAAGTTGGCATAACAGAGATCGCGGAGTGTATCTAAACAGTAAACATAATTATGAATTATTAACCACAATGGTGCTTAACGGTTCGGGCATATAAATGACACATCGTTGTCATCGACCACATACCCAGACATGTACGACCATCGAGTCCCAAGTAAAACCCATCTTGACACTCACAACGGTAACTTCCAGCCGTATTTATGCACTTGCCGTTTTGACAAGGACCACCGGAATTTGAACACTCATCGATATCTAAAAATAAACAAACAAATTAATTTAAACTATTTGTTCATATGTCACATATTCCAGAAGATTTACATCATAGAACTCGAACTTCTGTGTGCAATTAACAATTATACCTATACAGTTCTGTCGGTCTGGTGTCAATATGTAGCCGGAGTCGCAGACACATTTGAACGATCCTTCAGTGTTTGCACATTTTCCATTTCTACAAAGACCCGGTCTTCTTTCACACTCGTTTATGTCCGTGCAAAACGTTCCGTCTGGGGAAACCGTATATCCCGGCTGGCACTCACATATGTAGGAACCTGGGGTATTTCGACACTTGCCGTTGAGGCAAATTTTTGGGTTTTCATAACACTCGTCGATGTCTGCAAATGAATTAAACGATGGTTTAATAATGTGGTAGTTATTAATAAGGTAAGTAGGATATTAAGTATTACCTATGCACGAGTGGCCGGTTTGTGACATAACGAATCCCGACTTGCAGCGGCATTGGAAAGACCCTTGTACATTCAAGCACTTTCCGTTCGCGCACATGCCGTTTTTTTCGCATTCGTTGTGATCTAAAAACCAACATTTACCGATTAGTGTAGAAACAAAAATTATTAAAACACTGGTCTTTGGTTAAGACCAGCCGTAGGCTTAATTAGTGATTATACTCTGGAAGCCGCACCTATACAACGTTTTCCGTCCGAGGCCAAGTCGTAACCAGGCGGACAAGAGCATATAAAACTTCCCGGCGTATTGTTACACTGCCCGTTGTTGCAGATCCCCTGTTGTGCGCATTCGTTGATGTCTGTGGCATGAAAATGAAACAGAAAACAAACGAAAAGTCCGTTGAAAATTTAACACTATCTCTGACGACATGCGTGCCCGTGCAGGCACAAGCGTATTATTTACACATAAGATGACTAGCCTTCACACACTTGTGACTCCTCGTGTCTGCTCTTTGTGAACCCGGCAAAACATTCGCATGCGTAACCATCGACCGTGTCGATGCACTTGCCACCGGTCCCACAAATCTCTGGTCTCAAACCGCATTCATCCACCAAGTTCAGCACCGTTTGATTAGCTTTGCCACCGAGACAAAGCTTTACGTATTCAGCTGAAAATCATAACAGTTTGTGACGTTAGCTACCATAATCGTGAGAAATATAATTTATAGATTAAATGGCATATTAAGAACAATATGAATGTTAATGCGTGTCGGCTAATATATATATATATATCAGCGTGTATCTTATTTATATCAAAATTAAAGGTCTTTACTCCCCTATAAGTTTCAACTCATCAATTTTTAATCACGAATCGACATAAAACGTATGTAAATAATACTATGATACTATGATAGAAATTGTATTTACTACAATAGGAATTAACGTTAGAATTCATAATTAAATAACAATAATGTATTTTGCGAGCTTCGTCTCGTATTAATAATTCGTTACAATATGTTATAGTGCAATATACCTATTCAATAGTTCTTATAAATGCGAAGCCTTCTAAAATATTATAAATAACTAATCGAGAATAAAATGCTACAATAGAAAAACAATTTTAAAAACTAAAAATGTAATTGATTTTAAAGAAGGCTGTGAATTGAATTCATTTCTGTCATGACGATTGACGAACCTACGCTTTTACGCAACAATAATGTTTTAAATAATCTAAAAAATTATATCTGATTAAGTAAGAATAACAACAATAGAATATCGATACTTAAAAAGTTTGTTCATTTATTTGTATTAATATTTTTGAATCGTATTTAAAAAGAAAACACTTTCAAAGTTTTGCAATTTTTCAATATTGTCATGCATAATATAAGAATATGGAAGTTGCACAACCCTAGTTGCTAAATGAACAGTATCAAGGAAATTCCTAATCGATGAAATTTAATAATATAATACACATTATATTATAGGTAAACCTTCAAACTTTATAAAGTATACTTAGTCCATTGTATTAGTATTAAGTTATAACAATAAATTATGTATTATTTTGACATAAACGTCACGTTAACCGATATAATATTGTTTAGTTTACCCATTCCTTGAAGAGGACAATGTTCACAACAATTTCCCCAGCCCTGTCCCATGTCTTTACCACAGCAACAGTCCTTCTTAGAGAGTTTCATCGGCAACGGATCCGAGCAGTCTTGATTCAATGTAAGTCTCGTATAACACTGACCCTGTTGAGTATCTATACGAAGAAATGTAAAACAAAACAAAAATTGACAAATAACTCACTATTTAAAATTTTTTTTTCCCGAGGCGTCCTTCCATAACATCATTAAGGTTAGATTAACCCGTAAAAGTATGAACTCGGAGAAAAAACAGTGAGCTTACCTATACATCCTTTTCGGTCAGTGGTGGGCACGAATCCTTGTTTACAGATACAATAATACGAACTGTCAGTGTTCACACAATAACCGTCTTGACAAATGTTCGGATCACCTCTTTTGCATTCGTTTTCATCATCACAAACGTTCGTTACTTGATTATGCACTCGACCCTCAGGACACACGCACTTGAAAGACCCCACGCTATTTACACACGCTCCACCTTTACAAATTCCCGGAATCGCCTCACACTCGTCAATGTCTGAAAATAAATCGAGAATAAAAAACTACGCTGTGTGTATTTTAAAATATGTTTCGTAGTAAGTAATTAAATTCCGACCAGTCAGTCAATTATAATATTATATTTATAATAAAGATGCTCTTATAAATAGTGTGCACTGTGTTGCAGGTACCTCTCTCAATTCGACAATTGTTTGTGTACTTAAGTGTTAATTAATTTTCAACTGAACAGTAAAATATCCTTAATCGAACATTATATTTAATTTGTTTTATTCATTTTTAACATTTTTAGATGCCTACCAATTAAAAATATCATAAGTAGCTTTGCTATTATGTTATATTATAATAAGGCAACTTGTAAACTCTAAAATTACATTTTATTATTTTTGTGAACAAATTTTCACCGGCAATGGACATCAATCAAGTTTCTATATTACAGATTTGTCCCAAATCCAAATAAATGACATATAGTTGATCATCATCCAAACATTATTTATGGAGAGCTTGCCGTAGGTACTTAAAACACATCTTAACGAGCATAAAGTCGTTTTTTTTTATAAATCACTTACCTATGCATTGGTTGGAGTGCAAGTTCTTGAGAAAACCTATATCACAATCGTAGCTCAGTGAACACTGTTCACACGGATGTCCCCACGCCAGGCCTATTGTTGCACAACATAACTGTTTGGTGCAAACAACACCCTCCAGTTGTCCTTGACACATATCGTTGATCACCCTGGTGTAGCACGGGCCGATTCGGTAATCTAAGAACGATAACGATGGTTAAATACATATCGATTGTGCACAATAACTATGGACATTTTATAATATAATATACAACAAAAACAATCTAATACGTACAATGTAGGTATATTGTACTATATATATACATTATACATGAATAGGTAAGTACATCGAAACTACACTACTACTATCGTATCAAAATATTGTGATATCGAAGTGATTTTCGCATAAAATATGAAAATTAAATTATTCTCTCAATCGAAGTCTATATTTACAAATTATATCGTGTCTACAAAATGCAAATAACTGGTGTATTGTACCTACTGACACTGTACGAGAAATGTTGTACTGAACACATAGCACTGTCTTATCGTCGAGTGTTTTTTCTGTTATTTACACATTATTGTTCGTCGGAACTCGTTTGCGTACATCACTTATTTTCGACCTAATAAACGGCGACTCGTTTGCGCACAAGAAAAACTTTATCTATAAAATAGTTTTTCCAAATTATACTATTATAGAACTCGTTATAGTTCACTGTTTTTATATTCTTTCATTCATTATTTTAACATTACACTTCAATATGTTTGCGGCTACGAGATCATCGGGTATACGAAACATAATACATATTATGCTATTATACTAATTATAATTTTAATTTAAATTAATTAGTATGTGGCCAGTTTTTGAATCCCGTAGATGGAAACATGATTTAATATTGATATGGGTAATATATACTTATATGACAGTCAGTTTTACATGAAATATTCTAATATTCATTTTAATATTACGAATTCAACTGAAAAGGGATTTAAGTTTAGCTAAAATCAAAAAAAAATGTTGTTATTATCCAACGCAGTTGAAAAACGTATTAGTCCTTTAGTCAGTTAGAATTTTTAGCAACATATTTTAAACCATTAATTTCACGAGAATATTATTACAAATTCGGTTTATAACAAATGCACATTTTATCAAGATTCAAGAAAATACCACCTTATTTGTTATCTCGTCTAAATGTCTAAATATCTTATGTCGGTAAAAATGATAAGGAAAATGTTCGCAATGTATAATAAGTATTTTAAGTAATTAATTTGCATTATAATACTCAAAATATTGATATATTTTATGTAACAGTTTAAAATTTTTAAATAGGTATTATTTTTTTTTAAATATTTTAGTTTTACGCGTATATTATTTTGATGTATCTATGTGATTGAAAAATATACTTCTTGACACTACTATTTATAGTTTATACTCACATAGGTAAAAGTACCGTACATTTGCATACAAATTATATTAGTTAAATGTGAATAATAACTAAAACTGAAAAAATTCTTCGGGAAATTTGAACACTATAAAATTATTGACACAGCAAAATTTTGCCCTACAGTTTTTATAATTTACCAGTTGGCCCGTGAGCAGTACTGCGTACAATTATAAAAAAAATCATTTATTGAAGAAGGGAATATTTTCTTCGTCCTACAGTTATTTTTGTTTAGCAAAAATGTGTTTGTTAAATGCGTATTCATTCACGGTTGCCAGTGTAGATCTTTCGTTACCTTTAAACGTAATTTTTAACGAAATAGGGCATTTTGACTATAATAGTAATTGAGTGATGTCAGAAACGGAAACAATAACGCATCTCTTGGTGTGCGGATTCTTAAATATGGAGCAGTATTCGTTGAGAAAAGAGATGTTGACATCAGCAATAATATATATAATATAAATATAAATTACAAATTTATTGGTACTATCCAACTTGTTTATCAATTTAAACTAGACTACATTAAAATAATCTAAATCACATGAAAATTGAAAATCGTAAAATAGTCAACGTAAAAAGTAAAAACACAAATAACATAATAAATTTTGAGTTGGATTATTGAAACATTTTCACTAACATTAAAGTAAACAACATTATAAATTGATTTTGTAGAACACGAATTTGCCATGATTCTTGTGGGTCGGAGAAAGAAAACAAAATATAACACACTGACATTTTTATCCCATAACTATAAGTATCTATAGTCCTTATTATTGACTACCATCTTATCCTCTCAATATTCTTATTTTTTGTAACATTGAGGTATTATAAAATTATATTTTCGTTGGTAGATTTTGTCTCATAAACGGCCGCATGGATTCACAATGTTATGTTTCCATCAAAACATCGTATATTCCGTTGAAACGGTTTTGCATTCAACAAAACATGTGTGGTGTACTGATGAACCTTTGTTACATAGTTTTACAGTATTATACTTTTCACACGCGTGAAACGCTAATTTGGAAAAAGTCCAGGGACACGTGTCCTAATCCTAAGAGTAATCCACCGGTTAAAATAGTCACACGTCGTGTCGCGAGTCGTGATTTTTATCCAGAGGGGCCATTAGGCAGGCGGACACGTACGCGTTTATTTCCTCGCCGATTTTATGAACAAATATTTACCTACCGGCTTCGCATCTGCGCCCAGCGTATCCGTACACGCACGCACACCGGTCGGGGCCGATGCACCGGCCGCCGTTTAAGCATCCGTCCCGACAGATTGCTGAAAACATAAAAACAAAATTTCGTGAAACGATTAGATAATATTATATAGGTACTATTATATTACATTATGGGCTTAAAGTTAATTAATAGGTAGTCTGACAGAATTCTGAGCTGAACGTATTGTGGGATAATATACTATTACTATCATGCGATCGGTTCACACTTACGGTCTCCGCAATTTTCACCGCTGTAACCCTGTCGGCACGCGCAAACCGATCCCTGACAAGTGCCGCCGTTCAGACACGGATACTTGCAATAATTCCGTGATGCCACTGCCAAAGAATTGACGGCAGTCGTAGTTGCTACTCTGCTACTTGAGGTACTGCTAACGCTGCCGACATTTCCAACACCTTTGCTAGCACTGTCACCCCTGTTAGCACTATCGCCTCTGCTAGTACTGTCACCTCTGCTAGCACTATCGCCTCTGCTAGTACTGTCAACTCTGCTAGCACTATCCACTCTGCTAGCACTGTCACCCCTGTTAGCACTATCACCTCTGCTAACATTATCGCTACTGTTACTTATGCCTCCACTGCCGTTTGTCCCACTGTCATTTCCACCGCTGCCGCTACTCCCACCACTTCCGCCGGAACTACCACTGTTGTTCGAACCGGTCGAAGGCGGTTTTCCGTATCGGTCCGGCGTAGACGACTGAGACGATCGTAACTGCTCGTCGTCCCTGTTGTAAGCATCTCTGAGGTCGTCGGGCAAACACGCCGACCTGACGGATCCTTCGTCGCAGAGACACATGTTGGGTTTGATACACCGACCCCCATTGCAGGGCCTATTGCACACGGCTGAAAACGAAATCAACAAAATTGAATCAGTGATTTATATTTATGTAATATGTGTGGACGATAAAGCGACTCACCACCATAGATGTTTTTATTACTGAATTTAAAATTTTTTTAAGTGTGTTTATTCAAACATATTTTCAAACTTTTAGATTTGTTACACCTACCAGCTACCACCATAAGGAGGGTCCTACAGTGATAACATTTTTTTTTTCAAAAGAGATAATTTTTTCAGTATAGGTATATAAATTATTATAAACTGAAATTCGAACAAGTAGTTTCTGAGTTATTAAGCTTTTATTATTATTAAGGAAAATAATCCATAATAACTGGCTTACAAAATATAAGGGCTACCCAAATTTTGAAATTATAGTTATGATTAATATTAACAAATAAACATTTTTTAAAGTGTAATCTGAGTACAATTTATGCTAGACCATCCATTTCATATTTCATGTTAAGCCATTGTTATGAAATATTATCTTTGGTGGGTAGTTACATAAAACTTAAAATCTCAACTATTAATAATTAATTTTTTCCAAAAACAAATTTCATATGTTAAAGGTAAGTACTCGTAATAATATTTCGTTTCGTTTCGGTTTTTGTCATCTTTTAAACAAAGTGATCGGACCGTGGCCTGACCTTAACACATATAGAGTTCGGCGCCGCTGAGACTCGTTATATAATACAGAAGATTACATTAGCATTTAGCAGTATTTGAGATAAAACAACGGAAACATTGTTATATTAGTCGATAACGTTCATTAAAAATACAACGTGTGTAAATGGTTTGAAAAAAATAAATAGTTTATATTATTTGATATGCATATTCTATATTATTTTAGATGTAAGTACTAACATGACAATGTGAATGGTCAGTTATTATTGTTCTTCTGTTAATGAATGCTATAAAATATTATGACCTCAGCGGTTTCGTGTTTATTAAAAAAGCACTTAACAGTAATTAATAAAACAGTATACACATATTAACACATAATATTAATATACTGTAATATATACTCACGGACAATACAAAGCCCCGTCGCGTGTTTCAATGACCAGCCTGGACAACAGTAGTTTCTGAACCGCGACCGACACACGTTTGGCCTGCAAACATTTTGAAAAATTGAAAAATCCAGCAACGCGTGTTTTGTAAGGGATTAAATACATCATTCACTGATCACAATATCATATTTTCATTTCAAAACAATTTAAAATTTTCAAAACAAAGTATGAAACGATTAGTGGTGATTATTCGACGGTCGTTTCTTTCATAATATCTAGTTGTATTGTTTTATATTTACTCAATTTCAGTATTTACTTTCAACTAACTTCGTATTTGTTTTAAAAGTTTTACTGACACATTTTTCCGTCAAATATCTCAACATTAATCAAAAATAATAACATATATATGCATTGCGTTTTAGTAATTATTTGTATTAATAATATACATAATAATAATAATAATAATACAATATAATAAAAACATTTTTATAAAATTACAGTTAATTTCGCGGGTACCTATAAATATATATGTATGACTACTTTGACTATACCTATGAGTATGTAGCTAATAAAATATTAACTCATCAATTGTCCCGCGTGCAACCTCGTTCGAGTTGTCGATGTTTGGATGGTTCAAATACCTAGATGATATTTTGTTGTTTATAGCTTTAACTGTTAGGTTATTTGTTGGTTTTTACCACGAGGGGAGGTATTGTTGGTTCGGGAAACGTGTATGTGTGCCTAAGAACCCGGTTGGTCACCTACCCGGTAACTAGTGACACCAGTCAATGCTGGCACTCAGAAGACAATTGTAACTGAAGAAAAACACTATGACCGATCGTATCCACCCAGAATCGTTTTTCACATCGTATACAGTGATATATATTTTTGGATTTTAATATAATACAATGAGTTACAATTTACAGTGACTCAATAAGAATAACGAGGAGCATTTAACACACGCATTATACTATATACAACAGAGCTACTTCTGCTGTTTTTTCTGTTAATATATATGAATCTTCGAGGAACGTCTTTCATGGTACCTATACTTTGGACTCATACAACTCTGGAGTAAAAATCCTTTGAAATCCCAAATCCCAATGTAGGTATTATTTTCTGTTATGGATTCGATTGCATTTTAAATCTCTTCTACCATCTACGATATCGTTCATTAATCTAATATACAATACGTTTATTATAAGTATTTTGTATCACTCTGCTGTAATATAACCATAATGGTAATCGTTACTTAAACTCGCGGTAATATTTTTATTTATTTGAATATTATTTTAAGAAAATCAAACATTTGCTTTCAAGAAAACACGATTTTTTCAACTCTAATCCACAACAAAATAAACTAAATAAAATCTATTATTTGTTTTTTGATTAGGTACTTTGTATATTTACATTAGGTATATGATTTTACATTTGAGTATTCCCATACGAATAAATATTATACTTATCCTGACTATATAAAGAAACGTCATCTCAAACAATATGCGAAGTATGTTTGTAATGTAATTGACAATAATTATTTCTGAGACCTCAATAATTTGCATCATCTACACGCTTATATATGCATCTATACGGTATTATTCTATTCTGTTGGGCAAGTTACCATAGTAGTTGGCAGTTACTAGTTAGGTCCGCTATCAAAGCGCACACTAGTAATCACGTATGATAACGTTAAAACATATTATACACAATATAGGTACATGAATATAATATATTATGCTACATCATGTGAAGTGTAAAGTTTGCGGAGACCATATGGTAAAACCGTTATTTTTATTATTATTTATTTATTATCATTATTAATAAAAGAAACAAACCTCAGTGTTCAGTAATATAAATTATTATTATTATTAAGACAACACGATTGAGGTAATTAAATAAAATTTAAGATATTGTGTTAAATTATTTTATTCGAAACTACCAACATAGGTAATGTCAAATACTCAAATGTACCTACATCGAATAAAGAAATTGGATAGTAAGTATAATTAGAGCTGTGAAATTTCATAAACATTTTTTTGTTTGAAAACTTTCAAAAATATGTAATTTTTCAAAAGTTTACATTTTGAAAATTTATTTTTCATTTATTTCGTAATTATTATTTTTTTGACATTTTATGTCTTTACTTTGGCACATTAAAATAAAAAACCGTCACGAAAAAGTGTCGTTACCTACCACATTCAAACTAAGTGGGTCGTGTAGGAAACTGGGATTCGTTATGTTTTTGCTTTGGCACATAGAATCGAAAAACGTTACGTTACATAAAGCGTTACGAAACCTCTTGCCATGGAAACAAAAAATAAAACGAATCGCGGACTGAAAATAAAAAATTTATAAATATAATTTAAAATAATCATAAAATAAAAAAAAATTGTCTATCAATAGCAGTCGTGTCTTTATTTTTTATCAATTACCCTATAAATATTATCTAGTTATGTGCTACATATGATAGCAAGGACAGCAAAGACATAAAATGTGGTACTTCATTGCAGACTCGTATGTAATATGTTTTATTTTACTTAAATTAAAATATATTTTTAATGTTATGGGCCATGTTTTATACCCAAAATACTTGCCGATAATAAAGTATTAAGACATTATAGTTTGTATATATATGTATCACTTTGCCTATTGTAATTATCATCACAGTTTTTGTTATTATATAGCTAATAACATGTAATATTAAGAATTTGTAATACCTACAATTATTACATACACCGACGTTATGAACTCGACTTTATACGGTCTACCTCTACCTCTACTTAGCTCTTGCATAAAAAATTGTTTTAATTTAAAAAACTTGAAAAACGTCAGTGTCGAAAATATTGCCTACGTTTCTGAAAATGTCAATAAAAAAAGATTTTCAAACTTAAATAGTTATAGCTCTACGCATAATGTTGATCAGTTTGTGAGTTGTTAATAAGAATGTGCATTTAAATTTAAATTATAACTATTATGTACTTCCTATTGTATAGGTACTATAATTATATTGTAATTGGACCGAATATTAACAAATAAATAAATAATCAAATATTATACACGAGTGTGTAACGAGATACATGCGACGGGTCTTTCAGACTGTGTGGGACGTGAGTGCATCTCGGTGAATCGTATAAACATTATAAACTATAATGCATGTTACATTGCATTTTATCATAATATAAGAAATGTTAAAGTAGGTATGTGTCGACACGTCGTACGACTCACGAACGTGTAGGTAGAGGGTAGATAGGTATAAATGTATAATACACCACACTGTGGCGGGGCAGGTGAAAGTATTATTTTTATATATTCTTTAAGATGACTGAATGAATAAAAAACCAATATAATGATAATAGTTTTAAGAAATACCATTATTGTAACAATAATATTATAATATTATATATCGTCGAATGAAACCCAAACGTAATTGGACAGACTTGAGCGCGTGAAACTAAAATATGGAATTGCACTGAGCTGTAGCCACGTAGGTATAAGCGGTATATTAATGTGTAAAAATATATTATAAATTATAATATATGTAATATGCATGTACAATATACAGATATAAATTACTTTACCGTGGTAAATTTGAGGCTAATTTGATACAGCTATAAAAATAATACTAATGCATTAAATGTAAAATACTAATAGGTTTTGGAATTTTGAATTCAAAAGAATTCTTCAGACATTGCTTATCAATTTTTATACGAACTTAAAAATACGCGCACCTATTATACGTAGGTATACTTACCATATTTACGTTTCTCCGTAGAAAAAACAAGTATAAAATAAATAACATTAAATTGGTTTGTAGTCGCCGACGATTATAATATTATACATTATACTGCAGACTGTATAATTCACGCCAAGACCTTTCAAAACCCGTACACAACTTTTTGGATACAGTGATAATAATATAAAATACAAATGATAAGTGCTAACAATAGCTGCGGATACGAATAAAAAACAAACGTTTCGAGTTCAACGTAGTAAAGTAGTAAGTTATTAACCTAAAAACGCAAATAACATATAATCATGCGTTTGAAAATGTCACACCTCCCTATAACGACCACTTTGCAATAGCTATATCAGCAGTGTAAACACGAGATTTTCTGAAACAGCGTTGGAAAAATTTGAAAAATTTCAAAGATACCAAACGTCGTTGTAGTAGTCGTGTATAAATTGTGTAATATTATTATGGGGAGGACTTAAAATACACGACAAACACGCACTAATTTTTAAATCGGATCTATATCCAACGTTTTTTCGTAACACGTTCGGAGCATCACACCGTGTGATTAGGTTTAAACGGACGTGCAGTGTACATAAAAAAAAATACCGCTTTAGTATGATATTACGACTTTTTTTTTCGAAAAATCTACTATCGTAAACTACCGGCGTGAGGACACACACACACACATGTTCCACCAGACCACAATGATATTAAAATATAATATTATAATATGTATAATGAGTATGTATATTGTATATAATATATTATACTCTTTTTACGTAAACGGGCGTGGGACGCGACGAAGATTATCGGGAGACGGACATAATATGCTGTGTTATAATTTGTGCGTCGAATTTCGTAAAGTGGACCCTTTCAAGTGTTATTAAATACAATAAAATTATGTATTACGGGTTTATTATTATTTTTTTTTAACGTTTTATTATATTCCACTCGGACGACCGCCACTCTGTTTACGGGTAACCTACCTCATCCCAAGTATAATTTAATATTATTATACGGGTAGGTAAACTAAAATGAAAAATATTATAATACACGATGACGATCGTTATTGTATAATGCATTCGTCGATAGTGCAATTTATACTACCTACCTATTCCTAATACGACGACGATATTCGTGACACGCTTTGCGGAGGTAACATTGTATACTACACATTTCACTCGTACTTAAATAATTGATAGTTATACCATCGTTTATTATTATTTTTAGTAAATCAGTGTTTCAATCGACGGGCCGTAACCTGCGGATAATAGTTTGTTTATTTGTTTTTTCGGATAAAAAAAATATTCGTACGGGCGCATATATTTTATTATTATTATTATATGATGTGAGCGCGTAGGACACGATCACAATGGTTTCCGTGTGAAAGCTACACGGATGAATCGCACAAAGTATAGTATACGTATATTTCATCAGGGGTCACAACGGAAAATTAATTATCCATAAATATACTACACATCGAACGCCCCCCCCGCGCCCCGAGGTATACATTCGGGGTGCAAGGCAGTTCGTTTGCATAGGGTTTTTTTTGTGCATCAGGTATCTATTACATATTATAATAATATAGCGAGAGATACGTATCGGATAATAAGGTGTATCGAGTTTCACGTGCAGTATTTTAAACAATTTAATCGTCCGATTACGATTTTAATTTCCAAACATACAAGGTACCAATGATACCGAACAAGATAGGCATTAGAGTATGTACCTATAATAAAATGTGCGCAATCTGTTTGTAAAGTCGCCTATTTTACTATGTAAATTATAAACAATGTAAATGTAAAGTGAAATTAAAATACAGTTTTTTATCAAAATAACTGTAATTTGTCGATGACTTCGATTATGATATCATTATGATGTACGTAAATTAATAATATTAAATCGCACAAGTTTTTAACAGATTATAAAAATATTAGCCCCTACACATTTTATAATATATTATACATACACATTACACATCTATATATCGTATGGTATAAATAAGGTGTTAAATATAATTGAAATGACTATAAAAAAAAAAAACATATATTATATTTAAATAACACAATTATCAACTAAACAAATTCTAAACCCATGATATTTTGCATGCATGCAATTACATTATAAATAAATTATTATACATGATAATTATAAACAAATAAGTTATTTAAAATATCAGTTATTAAGACCAGTGAAACGAATATTGTAGGTAGAAAATAAAACAATGTTTACGATTTACATATAAGTATAATAGCGTACGTACTCACCACTCACCTCAAACACCTTTTATATTGTTACAATATAAAACTGCGCGTGTCAATTCACACTGCAGTAAATAATTTTTATTACAAAATTAAAAACGTAAATTGAAACATAAAAATACGATCGTTCGATCTGCGCTAGTTTAATAACAGTGTCTGTTATAAATAATATTATTTTATGGCGTACACTGTAATGTACAAATAAATAAATAATTTCACCAGACAGACACGTTGAGTGATTAAAAAATAAAAACTCAATTATTGGATATCGACCCGTAACGAGAATAATATATAGTAAACGCACGTGTACCTATACGTAGAATAAATGTATAATTGTATATTTTATAAACGCCTTATTTTCTCCTCTCCGGTCAAGCGTGGACCCTGAGGGGTGACGGTTGATACATACATACAGGCTATTAAACGCCATAAAGCTTTACGCGCTTGTTAAGTGAACCGGAATATTTCGGATGATTTATATGAAATGCGAGTTCAAGTGGATTTCACGGTAAGTTTATGTTATTATGTGTTATAATATTGTATGACACATGTAAGAAATCTGCTTTTGAACACTTCCGAGCTTCTAGTATACGCATGCAGTGTATACATATTATTATACGGAGGAGGCAGGGCTAATGTTTTCAGCGAGTGTTAAAAATACCTATATTATATTTTTACACTCGAATAATATATGATCGATTTTTTAACTATATTTGATAAACGTTTAGGTTATTTTAACTATTAATTTCTCTCGGTAAAAATAAAAAAAAACATTAAATGTGAAACCGGTATATTGATATTGTCTTTAGCCCGTTCAATCGTTAATATACGTTTCCAAATCAAAAAATAAATGTTATATAATATTTGGGCAGGTACGACATCTTCGAAGTAAATTAAACATTTTACGTTTGCTTACATGGACTCTTTAAAAATATTACGTACCTACGGGTGTAACAAAAGACACTCACAATGACGAACAATATTTCTATCAAAAGTTCTCAAACAATCAGGCAATAATTTTATCAACTCTTAGAAGTACCTAATACCTATTTCTCATTTTACTAACCAGACAAATACTTGACACTTAATATTTGATCCCTGACACCTCAATTTACAGAAATAATTATATAATCCTTTTTCGACTGTCACATCACTTAAATGTTTCCATTTCGCACTCATTCCCACTCTGTCACTGTCAAGCTATATCCAGCTTTAATGTTGTTTTAGATATTAAAAAAAAAAAACAATTTAGTATGATACTGCGTAATTGGATTCATGAAGTAATATGATTAAAATGCATATTTTATGTATAATATAATTCGACTGCAGTGTAGTAGTATACGATTTAATCATTTTAATCGAAAGTAAATTATTTTTGAAGACATTATTGTAAAGTCGATCAAACTTTATCAAATTTCACAAACAAATTAGCATTTAATATGGTCTCGTAGAAGGTCTATATGTTGTAATATAGGCATATAATTTTCTATTTGACTTTCGTTCCTGGCAAATACTTATTGTTAGTTATTACGAAGTTGCCACACAACACTTAACTAATGCCGACCAATATACGAACAGTAGAATGTGTCTAAATAAATTATTGTCATAGTGTAAATTATACGAATAGCGAGAATCAACACTCATAATAATATGTAAATACTATACATGTGTCTATCCATTATGAAAATGCACATGGACATCCTAAAACTTACGAGTAAAAATTACAATTGGTAATCCTTTACAAATTGAAAAAAAATACGTTAGGTACCACCTAATCCCGTGGCAATACAAATAAAAATACACTACGTGAAATGAATTATTAATTAGATAATCTAAGGCGTCCATCTAAAAACACTTCTGAAATCTCCAGGAAAAAAAACTTGAGTGCTCAAGGCGTCAAGGCGTGTCAACAACCGTAGCTTACAATTATTGATGAGTTTGGTACGTGAGGAAATAAAAAAGTAAAAAATAAAAATCACACAGCATTTATCGCATCCAATGAGAATATCAATAAAAATGTTTACAATTACTTATTAGTTATTACAGACGGTTCCCTGTACGGCTGTACCTAATAGAATTTTACTCATGGTATATTATACGTATGAAGTATATTTTTCACAAAACTATCACCATATTACATGATAATAATATATAGATAGTAATTTTGTATTTTATTATTTACAGTTGTACACTTGTATGTATTTAATATTGTAATGGTCAACCATTATAATATTTCAGTATTGGAGTTTCATAATATTTTGTATTGTATTTAACGTCTAAACAGAATTAAATATGTTTTGTATTCGATAGCCTATTTAATTATTATTTATTACGTTAAGAATGTAATTTACTTAAAAAATAGATTTTCTTAATATATTTTTTTTTTATCTTAAGTAAAATATTATGAACATAAAGTTAATTATGTCTAAAAATAAAATATTAAAAATTTATTTAAGTGTTTATACTCAAATTGGCATTTAAACTTATTATAAGGGCGACTGGGAAAACAAAACATAAATTAATTAGTACTGTTACTACTGTAAGTTTGTAATATTATGTGGGTATGTACAATAAAAATTATTAAGTATGACTTAAAAAGTCGAAAGTTACAAAATATTAAATAAGCTTTACAAATATTGTGTTTGTATATTCTTTAATGGAACAATTTTCGGTTACTTTACTTACTACGATGTACAATTATTATATTACATAGTACGATACACCATAATATTAAATTAAATATATAATTATAATTTATACGCATATATTTTTATTTACTCTCACTTAAACAATGTTTAACATTTAAAAAAAGGTTATAAGTTATCTATAGTTACATTATATAGTGTTTATTTTTAAAAATATAAACGCCATCGAAATGTAGGTGTTTTACTGTACCTATAGAGTATAATAATTTGTTCGATTGAAAAAATGAGCTGCTCTTAATCTTGTTTTAGATAAAAAAGAAAAAATTAAATGAAGTTATATTGTCATAAAAAAAACGAGGATATAATATTCGAGCTATAATGAAAAGGCTTGGAATCAGTAATTCGGTGGATCCCCTGTAGTGTCGAAATTTGACGGCGGACTTCTAACTCACTCTATCTCTCTGTCTGCCTATCTCTCTCTCTCTCTCTCTCTCTCTCTCTCTCTCTCTCTTTATCTCTCTATCTCTATACAAATACATTTATACTTTAGGTCAACTTTTTCGTTCGTAGCGTGGGGTGGAATTTAATCAAATTATCACCCACTCGTTTTTCTCCGTGGAGCAGTGTTTTTATATAATATATACCTATACCTATACAATAGCAGGCACGCAAGAACTTTGTTATCGTGTAAATTCTATTTTGCCGTGGAATTGGTGCAAAAAAATGTTAACGAGACGAAGTTGCTGTCATACTTCTGCAACTTTATTACAACTCGTCTCTGCAGGTGTATTATATTGTATGGTATTAAATCTAGAGTATACTCTCGACGGCACCGAAGTACCGGACAAAAGAGTGCGCAGGGTAAAAAATCATATAAAAACGTACCTATATAAAAAAAAAAAAAACGATAGAAAGGACGGGAGGTGAGGTAAAAGTGATTTTTAAAGGGAGTGGGAAGTAGCAAATGAAAAAAAAGTCGAAACTTACCCTCCAACAGGAGTCTGTCGAGCCGAATCGGTGCCAGGGTCCGCGCTGTTGATGGCCGGTGGTTGTGCGGCCGCGAACATAGCCGCGGCCAGTAAACAGCACGCGCCGACCACGAGTCGGGCGATCGGCGTGCGCTTAGTCATCATTCCGCCGACGTGTCACAGGATTTCTACTCGTATCCTGGCCGGCGCGTGGATATAATCCGCTCCCAAATTGCAAGACACAAGCACACCCTTCGCCGCTGTTATTAAGTCGTTGTGTTGTTATAAAATAATATTAGAATGACGCGAAGTCCGAAATCGATAACTATTATTATTGTTGTTGTTATTGCCGAGTACGCGTTCCGTATATTATAATTATTTTACTTATTATTGTGACGGTCAATAATAAATTGTACGCTGCAATCACACCGCGGCGCGATCAACGACGGACCCGACGACCGCTCGTCAGCTGAGTCCTCATCGTCGTCGTAAATTTTGTTGTCGATCGCGTCGAATTAGGTCCGATTCGATGTTGGTATATTATAATAATATTTATGTGCCGATCTACAAGTCTCTTGCGGATATGGCACGGTATTCGCAGTGCCGTGGAAAGAGCGAGAGGAATAAGACTATAATATCATTGCAATACAACATTATAATAGACAACCATAGTGAAATATTTATCACGGGTGAAGGATAACACGGAAAATATCGATTTGTAGGCACCGATCGAAATGGTTTTTGACGATCTGCCCCTCGCGAGAACGTACAGTGAAAATTGTTATAACTACAAACAACGACGTTTTATCGATCCGCACGAATCGTGCGCGCGTTACAATCGAACCGACTGAACTCGGCTGGTCGGTATAGTGCCGCGTGCGCGCTGCCCGACACTGATATGGCTACATTGATATACGACGGCATAACACGTCTATGATACGCTCACACACTCACACACACACACACACACACACACACACACATAAATACACACGTACAATATACATACACAAATGCATAAATACAAACACACCCATACGAACAAAATTATATTATCCCACCCGGTACGATCGTGTGCGGGAAACGCGACCACCACCGGTTATAACGCCGCGTTCTATATACGCACGCCGTATATATATAATCCTGTATACAGGGTGTTTTTTTTTTTTTTACAACGCGTCAACGAACAACATGCGATATTTGTGTTTTTCCAAAAACATGTGTGTCTCACAAGTCATAATAGGTTTCCTCGAGGCAATATCATAATAATTGCAGCTAAGTAGGCCATTTATTCTACATATTTGATCATTGTTAATATTCGGGTGTTATTAAAGGACCGTGACATGTGGAAGTTTTTGTAAAAAACTTATCGAATAGTGAGCTAATAAAGTATGGATGGTAAATGTTTCGATAAAATAAGCTAAAATCCTCCTAGAAATACCTTGTGAAATTGAGGTAGATCAATATTGCCCATCGCTCGACTAAACTTTAAATACATACCTGTAATTAAAAAAAAAAACGTTTAGTCTCCAATTCGATATATCATGCATATATATTATAGTATTACCTACAAAAGTATGGTTCTTAAAAATATGTAATTACAAATATTTAAAGTCATTCGAACAAATTATGGAAAAAACAAAAATAATAGTATGATACTTAAGACAAAGATTTTTAATATATATAAGTACTTTCTCACCTATATTTCGAGTTCATTATTAGATAGATACATACTTTAAAAGTTGAATCATTAAAACGAATAACAATAATTATTTATTCCGTGCGTTAAAAAAATCACCCTGTATACTGAACATATAATAAAACGTATATATAAGAATAATTGTATTTATAGTACAACACGTCACCTCAGCCTCCACCGTGAACTGTCTGACATGTCTCGTGGTCCCGTCACACGTGCGTTAGACTTGAGTACCTAATATCAATAACAATAAAAAAATTAAACCTTAATAATTGACAGATAGTGAATAAATAGTCATTACAAATAAGCACAGCCTGTACTGGGTACAATACTAGTTGTATAGTTACCAGGTTACTACGTGGAAAGGCAAATACAGCATTTAAGGGCGCGTCTCGTTTTCGTCCCCCGCAACACCGTCATAACAAGTTACACGCTTCACTGGGCTTAAGCTACGCAAATCCCGTATTCTCAACAACTTCCGGCAAATTGAGAAATAGAAATAATATTACAAATTACTGACGAAATAAGTACTAACAGTCAGCGGAGGACGGTCATTAATTAGAGTTCAAAATAATGGCCAATAAGTCTGAAGGATATACAGATATAAATAACATGTTATTTAAATATAAGTATGATATATTTTGCTTGCAGACGACCTTAGAAAATTGACGAATTCGGAATTAATACAAACATAATATTATCATCGTCGATTTTTCAGTAATAGTTGATTAGACATATGTATACAGACAGATTCACCAATCATACCTATTACCCATTGCAACATTATGTTCACAATTATTTCGTTCTTAAATAATATATTTATTCAACTTCAAAATGACTAGTATTCTATTATATTTATTATATAGGTCCCATATTTTCAAATTCTTAAATAATCGTATTTAAATACTTCCATTTATATAGACATTAATATTTACTGTAAAATAGGGTAGCTTATACATATTTTGAAAATAGGTTTAAACTTTCTCAATGTCATAAAAAAATTAAGTAACTACCTATTTGAAAGTAATATTTATGCCATATTTTTACACCATATTACCACTACTACGGTGTACAAAATGAATTGAAAATTCCAAAAATAAAATCAGAATATGAATAAATGCATATTGAATGGGAAAATGTGGACGGACATGTAGTTCAAAATAAATCATCATATATACATGTTTAATATATATATTTAATCATTGATAATACAATGACATATATTACATTATATACATAACTTTATAAAACATTATTTGTATTAAATACAAAAACTAAATTCTATAAGTTAGGTGGTACAAAAGTGTTTTAGTTAGATTCCTAGCAAGGCATTATTTGATATTATATTATATTGGAGGACAAACAAGACAAAAGTGTTGAAGGGACTAAATAGCTTAATAATATATTATCCACTTGAAGTTACCAATTTGATACCCACCATTGGTTATACAGTATATACACGTAAAAATATTTTTTTTACCTACGCCGTACTAATAATAACAAAATAATAATAATAATGTAATATTATTTTATAGTAAACATTTTAAAAACATGTGTCCTGGGTTTGTTGCTGGGCAAAAAAATTGAAGTAAAAACTATATGGATAATAATTAAATACAGTATTGTTTGAATTACGTTACAATAGTTAATTTTGTGCATAAACGAACAATACATACACTTGTACAACATTTTAATGATATCGTTGCACTAGTATGGCAATTAAATAATTTGAAGAAAACAAACAGCATTTTTAATATAGCGGTGAGAAAGTAACAAATTACTACACTACCTATTATATTTATTTATTTATTTATTTATTTAACGGAAATAATTTCCAATTACAATTTACAAGTAATAAGTACAATTCTAAATGTAATACCTATATTACGAACATTAAACAAATTACTATCAAAAACTATAGAAATAGCTAAATGTTTGTTTTGGTTAGCTTCAATTAAATTCGAAAAGGTTAATCATTATTCGTTACACGTAAAGCACAATAATATTGTTATCACAATTAAATGTTTGATCAATTTTTCTTCCTAACTACGTACCTATTATACCTATATAGATAATACATTAATGATGATTGAACTATGTAATAAATTGTTTAAATTGTATTACCTATAATAATTAATACGTAATATCATCCGTAAAGTTTATACTGAACACTAAATCGTGTGGGTACACACGAATAAAACTTAATTGAGTATTTGAGCATAAATAAAAAAAATATGCAGTGTATGCGCCATTTTTTCACATCCTTATAGGCATTTGAAATGTAAACACATTTAATATAACAACACGCATTTTACATTTTCTAATAAAACAATACATTTTACGCTTTGGAGCAATTTAGAAAGTTATCCATTCCACCAAAAAGAAATCCTTACATTATTTTTCAATTTTTGTTAATTTCGCATAAATATGTATAAATGACTACTTTTAAGTATGGATGAAATAGATTATTTTCAACTATATGGATTATAGGTTAAGGCCATGGTGAAATCCATGATGAACCTATCTCCATCCACAGGGTTAATGAAACTATACATACCTACTTTGTAAAAACAAACTTATAGATAATAAGTTTTAAGAACACATTATAATATTGTGTTGAATTTAATTATCACGAAATTATTTATACATCTCAGTAATATAATATAATATGTCCAAAATGATGAATTTATAAAACCTAAAAATAATATTCACAATCGCAAATTTAGGTTTCAGATTATATACTATGTGAAATTTCCTTTGAATTCTAAAATATCAAATTTAAACGTTAAGTTGTTGTTGTTCATTTTGGAATACAAAATATAATAAACTGAAAAAAAAATGAAGTACGCTGTAGTATTTTCATAAATATTTTCGTTATACATTCGCCACGCATCGCTTAAACAGCGTTTAACTTTTAACAGATTACAAAAGTAGGACACAATGAACAACTCATTATAGCAGTTTCCTAAAAATGTCTTTTATGATTATATTTAAATCAAATCCTTTATTTATAACACTAAAAATACATTTCAAAAAATATTTTTCATAATTTTAATGCTTGACTTAAAAATAAAAATAATAAACGACTCGTTTGAATAAAATTACGTTCAAATTTATTTATAACGATTTCTTTGCCTGAGGTTCATTAGCATGACGAATATTATTTTTTTTTTTTTGTTAAAAATTAAAATATTCAATACTCTTCAAAACTTGAAACCTATTCTAAAATGTGAAATTCATTTTTATAATAGGTCATCATTGCGATATATTTATATACATAAGGAACATCATCAAAATCAATACAACAAAACTCTACCTATTAAGAATATTATTACAATATACACTCAAAATTCTAATATACGTCTAACATTTAGTTACTTAACTAAATAAAACAAATGAAGAGACCTTATTTTATAAAAAAAACATGATGAAGGTAATAACACAACCTCATGAGAACTTATGTAAC